TACGGTAGCTTATGATGATTTTCAGAATTTGGCCTAAAGCCTTAAAAGTAGGAAAACTCGAATTACGGCATAAAGCTGCATTTTCCCGGGAGCGCCAGAACTCTCTCATCCTCTTTCTCTCCCGTTCTCTCCCTCTCTGTCTCTCGCTCTCTCTCTCTCTCTCTCTCTCTCTCTCTCTCTCTCTCTCCCTCTCTCTCTTTCTTTCTCTGTCTCTCTGGCTCACTCTCTTTCGTTTGCCAAAAGACGAAATCCACAGATTTTCTGCCTTAGCTCCCCCTTTAATCAATTTTCCCAGCTTTAGCTTGTATTTCGCTATTATCGAAATTTTTTGCGCCTGAATTTTTGTTTCGTTGTTCCAAGCTTTTCCGTGTGTTTTCGATATGGTGCGTCAAGCCGCTGTCGCCAGGCTACGGTTTATACTCGATTATTCCGCCAGAATACTATCTACTATGCGAGTATAGTCGTTCCTGGCGACTTTCAGATCTTTCCCAGCCCCTTCCCAGCCGGAGCGATCTCGGAATATTCCGTCACAACCGGTTCCCGCCACTTCCAACTTCCTTCCTGACTCTTTTACGAGACTCAAGTTTCTCTCTCTCACGTTCTCCCTCTCTCTCTCTCTCTCTCTCTCTCTCTCTCTCTCTCTCTCTTTCTCTCTCTCCCTCCCTCTCGCACTAACCACGAATTATCCGGTCAATTCTCAACAAGTTGAACGAACTTAGGTACCCTTTTCTCAAAGGATCTTTGCGAGCTTGCCTTTCCCATAATTTTATTTGGGTTTCCTGAGGGATTACTGCTTGTTTTCCATCCCAAAGAAATCGATGTCTTCTAGCTGGAGCTTCCTAAATGTTCTCTGCGAGCCTACCTCACCTTGAATACCTCAAAGAATCCCTGCTAGGCTGCCCCTTTTAAATTCCGCAAAGGGTCCCTGCTAGCCTGCCAACGTCGTCAAAAAATACTCTGTCAACACACTAATTTGGTATTCCCCGCGAATTCCCACGCTTCAAAGGGCTCGAAAAAGAAAACACGTTGGGGCAACATTTAGTATTCCGACCCGTTGTAAGGCATGCTCTCTCTCTCTCTCTCTCTCTCTCTCTCTCTCTCTCTCTCTCTCTCTCTCTCTTTCTCTCCATATTTTTTGTTTTCCCTGCCCCCATTTGGCGGGTGTCAATGGGCGCGGAATGGAAGTGGTGCTTTTCCCCTCGCTTGGCCCCTTTAGAGGCCCTTTTTATGCACATTTTTTGCTTTTTCCGGTCCACCCCGGGGGTCTAGCCCCCGGGTAGCACCTAAAATGCCAGGCTATAGTCTGGATTTTTGGGTTTTTGGATTGGGTTTTTGAAGGTCACCGAAAGCAAATAATCTCTGCTAGCCGGCCCGGGACATTTCCTCAATTATCGCTGCTAGCTTGCGCGTGTGCCCAAAATAGCTGCTTCCTAAAGGATCAGTGCTAGCCGGCCATGGCAAAGCGATTCTCCTAGTAAGCTCGTCCTCCAACAATATCGAAAATTTCACGAATCGCTGCCAGTTTGCCTGGGCGCCCAAAAAATTTGTTAATTCCTGAAGGCTCGCTGCTAGCTTGCCGTCAGTATCTGCATTGCCTCATCGCTTCGCTATTGAAAAGGCTAGGCTTCAGCGCGCGCACTTTCCCCAAAAACCTCTGCCGGCCTACCCCCGCTCATCCCCTTCATCAATCGCTTCCAGGTGCCGGCCGGCAAAAAAAAACCGAAACAGCAGACTATGGGTATAGTGGGGCTGGAAGAGGCGGTGGGGGAAATAATTTACGACCCACCCCAAATGCCCCTCCCCACCCCATCACAACTCTACAGCACTGCTAGATCGCTTTTGGGCGCAATTTTGGGGGCTGTAAAGAGTAGCCAGGCGGAATTATGCTGCGGTCAGACCCTTCTCGGGAGGTGTGGGCCTATTTCCGCAAAGATGTCTGCTAGCCTGTTCCGGCATCAGTCATTTCAATGAAATTCGGGCTAATTTCTAAAGAGCTTTGCGAGTTTTCCGTCAATATCTCTGCTAGCCTCCCGCAAGGCGTCGGACCGGCTGGCATATTCGGTCTGTTGGGGTTTCTGATGGATGGTGTAGGTGTTCTGTCTGTCTGTATGTCAGTTTCTCTGTCAGTTTCTCTGTCTGTCTGTCTGTCTGCTTCACAATCTGTTTGTGTGCTCATCCGTCACCTATCGGCTTTTCGATTCTCCTCTTCCCCCCCCCCTACCCCATCAGCCATTGTCACTTTTTGCTGCGCCCCAGGCGGCGGGCAGCCGATGATGCGCAGGTGGGGCAGATAGAGCATGCCATTGGATCGTCGTTTGGAATTCGCGCGGAATTGTTTGGAATAGTTTGGAGACCATTTTAAAGGTGTTTTCAAGGATACGAAATCGTCTTTGCTAGCTTGCCTGCTTGCTGAAATTATTTAATTTTTTATCGTGACATCAGATTTTCTAAAAATGCAACGGATCGAGAATTTTAAATTTGTAAAAAGCTAGTTTAATAACTTTTACGTTTCCTAAATGGTCTCCGCTAGTTCAAACTTTCCCAAAGAATCTTTGCTAGACTCATCCTCATACTTTGAGCTCCGATTTCCTTAACGATCTCTGCTTGCATGCCTTCACCTCTGGATTTTTGGACCGTTTCTCCAATGGCTTTTGCTTTGATCCCTGCATTTTTCTATTTTCTGCAAAGATTTCTGCTGGCTGCCCACAAATTTAAAAAAGGATAATCCGCTTAAAAATGAAGAATAAGCCCGTTTTAATCATTTAAAAAGTAAAAAAAGGAAAGCTATATAAAAAGCAAATTTTGGCTTATGTTGCTCGGTGTTCTCTTTCTATTTGACTAGTAATTTTATCTATTTTCCGAGCTGATTACAATGTTTAGACCCGGGATAATATTTATTGACTGCTCTCCAGAACTGGAGCGAGAGAGAGAGAGAGAGAGAGAGAGAGAGTGCCTGGGGTGGCGATTCGTACAGTTTGCATTTTGTGTGCGTGTGCCCCTCGTGGTGGTGGGGGAAAAGCCGTTCGCCCCCTGCTGGCCGTTCACTGCCCCCTTTGCATGCCTGTTTTTCTCTCGGTTCTCTACGATTGTCGCGTATATTCCATATCTCTCTCCCTATAGGCCGTATCACCCTGGGAGCGATCTATCGCCTTTTTTGAACACGGTAAAAAAATCGTATTATGCGGATTAAATGGATTATGAAGGCTAAAAATCATGGGAAATGGAGTTTCAAAAATTTGGAAAAATTTGCATATAGCGAGACAGCAAAACGAATTTTCTTGCCTATTTTCATCGGGTTTTTTACTTTTTAAAACTTTTTAGTGAGAAAAGGCAGCAAATTTTGCATTTTTTCACAGTTTTCCCGGTTTATTTGAAACTTTCGATCCGGTTACGCTACTTATTTCCTAAATTAGCATCTGCAAATCTATCTGTTCAAATTTAGCTTGATTTTTTTACACTAGCTGTCGTTTCCGCTTCCCGTAAAATGAAGCCCATAGTGGCAACCTTTAGTTTTTGAAGCGCTGTTTTGTCTAGTATCCCTCACTCGCTCTCTCTCTCTCTCTTTGTCGCTCTCTCGCTCTCACTCTCTCTCCCTCTCTCTCTCTCTCTCTCTCTCTCTCTCTCCCACCCTCTCTCAGCCTCTCTAAGTCTTTGACCGGACAGACACGAGTATGACTCAAAACACCGATTCAAAACTTGTTCGTCACATTTTTCTTATCGCTGGGTTGCTAACTTGGAGTTTGATATTAGTTGCTGTTCTCTCTCTCTCTCTCTCTCTCTCTCTCTCTCTCTCTCTCCCAATCTAGAAACTTATAATCTATGTGCTGAATCAGTCCGTCTTCCCCCTCTCCTTCTTGGGTGACTCATTTTTTAGAATCGGCCGTATGGGGGCTGGTTGACCGTTAGTCATCCCCCTGTGCCGTTCCTCCCCCACTATTCACAACATCGTAGCTAGCCGTGATTTTGTTGTTTTATATAAAATTCTGAATTGGACATTGAAAACTGGAGAAAATTGATTTTTTGGTGCTATTAGTCCAAAATTTTCTATTTTTTGCCTTTCCGATCACTTTTAAAGGAACTTTGAAGGCTAAAAAATCGACCCTTACGATCGGCTAGGTCTAGACGACGGATTTTCTTGATGGTGTTTTCGATTATACGTGGAAAACAGCAAAAAATTGAATTATCAGCGTTATTTTTCAAAAATATGATGATTTTCCGCCTTAGCGCTTCGCTTAAAGGGACTGGAAAGCCTCAAATCGACCCATTCCATCGACTAGGTCTAGACAGCGACGCGGTGCACCAATTTACATATGTCAATTTTATTCATACTCATTGCTTTTTAGATATGACTTTCCAAAACAAATTTAAGCCACAAAATTCAGGGAATACGAGCGTTTTTTGGAGTAAAACGTATCTGTCTAGACCGAGTGAACTGAAGGGGTCGATTTTCTGGCTTCCTAGTCTTTTTAAAACGCGTCTGTTTGCCCTTTTCAATCGCTTTAATGTGCTACGTTATTTCCTCGTTGCCAGAAAAATAAATCGGGCCGCCACTATCAAAAGGCTGCGGCTGATAAGGCGCTGGCCACTCAGCCTATTTGGGCCGGCAGCATGTTTGCGAATTTTTCTATATTTATACTTTTTCGTTCTCTCTCTCCCTCTCTTGGACTCTCTCTCTCGCTTTTCTGCAATTTTCTTGGTCTACAAAATTACAAAAATAGCTAATTCCCCGTTTTCAGGTGATTCTACCGCTCACCTCGCCAGATTTTTTTTGTGCCAGCCGGGCTGTCAGATCGGTGAGTAATTTTATAACTTTTTGCGTGCTCTCTCTATTTATTCTCACTCTCTCGCTTTCTCTCTCTCTTTCTCTTCCTCTCTCGCACTCTCTCTCTCTCTCTCTCATTCTCTCGTTCTCGCACTCTCCTCTCTCTTTCTCTCTCTCATTCCCTCGTTCTCTCACTCTCTCTCGCTCTATCTCTGTCTCTCAAATCTTCATTTTCCAGATGAACCGCTGGCCAGCGACCACCCACGGGCCAAGGCGGGCAAGTCCGGGCAGCCCTCGGGATTTTCGGCCCCCGGATATCATCTACGATCGACCCAGCGGGGTCGATTATGTCGATCCGAGGTACTTGGGAAAGGTAAGGACATCTAGAGCTTTTTTAATCGAAGTTTTAGGGCGGTTTCGGGACCGTGTGGCGTTACAGTAATGCGGCTACAGGACAGCACTATGCCGTCAAGGTAGGGTAGTTGAATACTGCTTTAAAAGGTCAGTGGCACTGACTCAGCGCGAATGGCAAGCTAGCAGAAGCCATTAAAGAATTGGCATAAGCAGGCCAGCAGGGATCGCTTAGGAAAGATTTTAACCAGCTAGCGGAGATTATTTGGGTTTTTTTGGCGGGCAGCAGGCTAGCAGAGAACATTTTTTACACCAAAATCAGCAGCAAACTAGCAGAAACCACCGAATAATCCTCGGGCAAGCTAGCATTGACCATTTAGGATTTGACCCCAAAAACTATGTATCTTTTTAGATCATCGACAAGCTGAAGACGATCCGGGACTCAAATTTAAGCAAGCTAAAGCGCGAGATTGACCTCCAGACGTGAGTAATTTACCTTAAGTAAATTGAAATATGGAAACTTTTTGGCAATTTTAAAACGCTTTACGTCTGTATTACGCCGTCTGATTGTATTTTTTTAGGCGTTGCTGCCACGTGAACGTCGTGAATTTTGTGGACGAGATGATTGACGATCAATTCCATTATTTTGTGTTGGAGTACTGTGGTGGAGGGACGCTGCTGGAGAGGATTGACGAGTCGCCATGTAAGTCTTATAAAATACTAATAAAGCGACTAGGCAAGCGAGCAGAGATTCTTAGAGAATCGGCGTTGGCTATAAAACTCAGGTTTTAAAAACCCGGGACGCATTGGCAGGCTAGCAGCGATTTTTCAGGAATTTTGGCTGAAATTTTGGGAAGGCTAGCAGTGATTCTTTGAGGAATTGGACTAGGGGCAAGCTAGCAGCGACACTAGAAAGAACAATAGACGAAAACAAGGAGAATTTATGTTAGAGTTAGGGGCAGCTAGCAGATACCATTGAGGAATTAGCTGCTGGTCTAGCAGAGGTCAGTTAGGATATGAAGCTTTGGCAGCAGAGATCCTTATGGAAACCTGGCAAGCAAAATAGCAGAGCCTTTCAAGCCAGTGGCAAGCTAGCAGAGACCATTTAACTATTCTAATTTTAGACGGTCGTCTCTCCCCGAAGGAATGTTGTCTGTACATCAGCGGAGTCATCGAGGCCGTCCTCTACCTATTTTCCCAAAGAATTTTGCATCGAGATTTGAAGCCGGCGAACGTGTTTCTGGTGGATGAGAGGTAAGCAAAGAAAAGTGCAAATAAGGGCAGACTAGCAGTGTTTCTTGGGGAATGAGCTAGCTGTCCCGTTGTCCCGTTAAATGCACAATTTCAGGAACATCAAGCTGGGCGATTTTGGGCTGGCCGTTGAAGCGGGGAATGGGCCATCGAGAAGCATTTCCGGGACGCCAAACTATTTGGCTCCCGAGGTACTGCAGCGTCGTGGCCATTCAGAATTGACGGAAGCGTGGGCGATCGGGTGTATGCTGTTTTGTATGCTGACCGGGAGGCCGCCATTCGAAACAGGTACGGTATCTGTCTGGCTCTCACTCTCTCTCTCTCTCTCTCTCTCTCTCTCTCTCTGTCTCTCTCTCTCGCTCTCTCGCTTCGTGTCCCGCTCTTTCTCTCTACAGCTTACTCTCTCTCTCTCTCTCTCTCTCTCTCTCTCTCTCTCTCTCTCTCTCTCTCTCTCTGCGTCTCTCTTTCCTCTCCCTATCTCTCTCTCTCGCCTAAAAAAACCCTCCGATTCCAGACCAACTCGAAAAGACCTACGCCCGGATCATGAAGGCCGAATTCCGGTGGCCAGAATTCGGAGAACGAGGTCCTCTATTGGATCGTGCAAGCATGGCCGTCGTTTCTCGGTAAGTGAAGTTCAGAGAAGTTTTTTAAACTAGTTTTGGTCATACATTAGGTTTTATCATATAAAGTAAAGTTGAAGGCCCAAAAAAATTCACAAAGATACAATTGCTTGATTTTTAGCCTTCTCCGCCTCGATCCTGTCGTCCGAATGTCGGTTGTTGAAATCAAATATTCGACTTTCTACCGGGATCATCACGAGAGCCAATCCCCAACACCGCTGAAAATGTGAGTTCAAAAATCGCTGGATGGCAGGCTAGCAGAGATTCTTTGAGGAATTGGAGGAGATGGACGGGGGCAGGCTAGCAGAGATTCTAGAGAAAATCCAAGCCCTGGAAAACCTCTAAATTCCACTTTTCAGCAGCGATCTTCTCCCTCCACTCATCCCGCGTACTCCAAAACCCGGGATTTCCACTTTATCCTATCGCCATTTGCCAGAGTAAGTTTTTAAAAGCTTTTTTTAAGGTTATGGGCCCCAGAAGGTACAAATCTATGCTCACTCTGGCATCCAAGTCCCCTAAAGATAGCCTAGAATCCCAAAAAAGTCGATTTTTTTAGTGTCTATGGCATCGGCCCATCCACTTCCGGAGAGCTCTACAAGAGACACTACGGTAGCCACCATCAGTTGATGAGCCCGCGGAGAACGGGGCTACAGACTACGGAATTGACCGAGTGTACGGCGTATCAGCCCCGGCACTTGGATGCCCCGATAGCTTACGCAGATGATGAACCGTACGCGAATAGGTCGCAGAGCTGGGTGCGGACTACGAATACGGTAGGGAGAAAGAGAGAGAGAGAGAGAGAGATGGAGAGAGAGAGAGAGCAAGAGAGAGAAAGAGAGAGCTAGAGGGAGAAAGAGACAGGCCCATGACGAGAGAGAGAGGGAGAGAGAGAGAGAGAAAGAGAGAGAGAGAGGACGAGAGAGAAAGAGTGAGCATGAGAGAAGACGAGAGAAAAAGAGAAAGCATGAGCAGGAGCATGAGAAGCACACAGCTAGGGATAGAGCGTTCGTCAGAGCCAAAAATATATCCAAAATTGTTAGATAAGAGAGATCGAGCGCTGGAGAGAGCAATGGAGAGAGGGACGGAGACAGAGTGAGAGAGAGCGAGAGCGAGAGAGAGCGAGTGAGAGAAAGAGAGAGAGAGAGAGAGAGAGAGAGAGAGAGAGAGAGAGCGCGCGAGAGAGAGAGAGAAAGAAGGAGATGGAGCGCGAGAAGTACGTAGTTAGCGAGAGAGACAGTGATGGAGGGAGTGAGAGAGAAAAAGAGAGATGTGCACAAACTCTATGGTCCATTTTTCAGCGAGAATCCACGCCTCGTCCATTCCACGATTCTGGTGTCGGCTCTGACCCTCATCTTCTGAGCCCGCGAAGTCACGTAGCAACCCGCCTCGAGGGTTACTGTAAGGAGCTGGCGATGCTGCGGGAGGGAAGGCAACGACTCGTCGAAATTGTGCCAGGTGAGTAATCTCTTAAAAATTAATCAAGCAGCGGACGTCTCTAAAAAAGGGACGTTAGGAGTACTGCGTCGTACTTTTTAGGCCATACTCTTTTGACTCCCCCGCAGGTACTCGCTATATCAGTTGGCCAATTCACAACACGTTTTGCGATTTTTATACGCCTCTGAAGGTAATTTTTCAGAAGCCGCCATCCACGTCTCGCGCTGGATCGACGATACCAACATTTTCGGGTTCTGCTTCTTGCTGTCGGACGGGACGAGCACGATCAATTTCTGCAATCGAGGATTTGTAGCCGTTAGGTGGGAATTCGGGAAAACTAGTTGAACGTGTCGCGAGCGCGTTGCGCGTCGCGTTCTATCCTCCACAGATGCTCGACGCGCCCACGACGCGTTGCGTAGATTTGCGCATGATAAACGATATAGTACCCGCTTTATCATCTCAAAAAAGGAATTTTTTTCTAGCCCTGACCGCGGTCTAATCCGACATGGGATGGATCCATTCGGCGATTCGAGGGTGGAGACGATGCATCAACTATGCTCGGACACTTTCGAAAGGGTCAAACTGGCCAACAATTTCCGAAGATATATGGAGGACAATTTGGCGCAGGCCGTCAATGATTCGTGAGTTAGAATAGTCAAAATTTAGATACCTTGAAAAATTCCGGATTTGTGGCAGGCTAGCAAGAATCCTTGAGGAATTCAGGAGGTCTCTCTTATCGCTGCGAAATTAGGAAGAGAATAAGGCAGGCTAGCAGAGGTCTTTGGGGAAAATGCATGGATGGGCGAGCGGAGAAGCTTGGGGATAGCGGAACCACAGAGAGGGAGACTGAGAGAGGGAGACTGATAGAGAGCGTGAGAGAAGGGAGCGAGAAAGAGAGAGGGAGCGAGAGAGGGAGGGAGAGAGAGAGAGAGAGAGAGAGAGAGAGAGAGAGAGAGAGAGAGAGAGAGAGCGAAAGAGTTGAGGCAAACTAGCAGAGACTTTTGGACTTTTGTTGGCCATCAAGGGCAGGCTAGCAGAGTTCTATGAGGAAAATAAAACCGCTCTATAATCCAGACTGCCCGCCCCGAGAGTCATCAATCCGGGCAGAAGGTTTGTGTAGTAAAAGTAGGATTCCATCGGAATCTAGCCTAGCCATACGTTTTGTCAATATATTATTTGTACAGTGGTCGTCCCAAACCTCACCCAATTTTTATTGTAATTAAGAAATTAAAAAATTATCATTTAGAATCTGGAAGACGCTGACTGCGCCGCAGAGCGACTCGCTACCGTACGTCTACAAATTCCACAAGGCCCCCGGAACGTTGATGTTCTTGCTGTCCACTGGAGCTGTTCAGGTGGGTTTTCAGCCGCTTTTCAAAGGTTTCCGGACCGCCAAAAACCGTGGTACAGCACTGAAAAACCTCAAAACAGCGGCAAGCTAGCAGCGATTCTTTAGGCAATCTCAAAGGGGCCACGGTATGCAGGAAATATTCAAATTTAGGTAAACTTCTTGGACATCCACTACAAGGTTGTGATCACCCCATCATCATCTGCAAATCACGGGATGACCGTACATTGTATCGATCCGGAACGAGGAATCCGGGCTTATAGGGTGGAGCAAGGAGCACCAGGTATGTAGTCTGGAGTTTGGAGTTCTAGTTGTTGAGTCTAAGGAAGGCTAGCAGAGATTTTTTGGAGGAATTGGAGGGGATGGAGGGGGCAGGCTAGCAGAGATTCTTTGAGGAATTGGAGGGGATTGAGGGGGGCAGACTAGCAGAGATTCTTTGAGGAATTGGAGGGGATGGAAGGGGCAGGCTAGCAGAGATTCTCTGAGGAATCGTGTTTTTCAGAATCGCCAGCCTCAGCAAACTCGGAGCTTCTGCTCGACCTCCTCTCCACGATGCAACCCCTCATCCAGGAGCAAAAAGACAGCTTCGGACCGCCGATTCAGAACTCGGATGGGACGGATCGACATCATCGTTTTGACACCAATGTCACGGCTCCAACTTTGAACCCCCGAAAAGCTTCGACGCTTTCAACGGCTTGCTAAGACCGTAAACGCCTACCATTTTTACCTAACCTTTTAAATCCGATTTTTTATTCGTATTTTTCATTTTTCGACTGGTTCACCTATTCGTCTTTTTCTAATTTTTAGGAATTAATTTTTTGTCTAAATTTTTCAAGCGCTCAAAGAAATTACCGTACTGCCAGCCTTTCCACGGAGTTTTTCACGTTTTCCATGGCGTCTCTCTCTCGCTCGCTCTCTCGTTTCCACTGACCCCTCTTGATCTTTGGTATTCTGTCATCGGGTACCGTATCCCCCTAGCGTGTGTGTCATTACTTGGATTTTCAAAAATATACACTTTTTTCATCCGAATTTTGCTATTCCCAAAAACAGTCTTTCAGCCCCAAAAACGCGTGCCTCCACGACTTTGTACTCTTCATATTTTCCATCTTCAGATATTTTTTTGATGTTTTGTACTTTGTAGTTTGAAGTGTTAGAGACCGAATAAATATACATATTGAGGTTGTCTTACGCATTAATGAAAATGCAGGGCAAACTGGCAGAGACCATTGAGGAAGCCTGGCGGTCTTGAAACTGGGGCAAGCTAGCAGAGATCATTAAGGATACCACAAATAGCCAGGAATTCAAGCTTCAGGGGCAGGCTAGCAGAGATCCTTGAGGAAAGCTGGCCCGGTTGTAGCTAGGGCAAGATAGCGGAGAGCATTTAGGAAGCCAGGAGTCGATGCTTCTGGAGCTGGTTAGCAGAGGTCCATAAGGAAACCAAGCCGTCTTGCAGCTAGGGCAGGCTAGCGAAGAGCATTTAGGATACGACGGAGACCAGGAATTTAAGCTTCTGGGGCAGTTTAGCAGGGATCATTGAGGAACGTCGAAAACTAGTATTTTGTCGATTTTGTAGGCAAACGAGCAGAGACGCTTGCGGAAAATGGGAATTTTTGTGCTGTCCTTTCAAAAAAAAAATAGTTTTTCGACTTTCGCTCCAGACCGATTTTGAGGGCAAGCTAGCAGAGAGCATTGTGAAAAATTAGGATTTTCATGTATCACTGTCAAAAAACTGTATTTGCTGCCGTTTTCGAGGCATACTAGCAGCGGTTCTTGGGGAAATTGAGAACTTTTCGATTTCCGTCCAAAAAAATTGGGGTTGGATTTCAATTTTTGACCATTTTTGGGGGGCATGTTAGCAAAGATCATTGAGGAAACCCAGTGTTTACCTGCTCTCTGCAAAAACGTAAATTTCATGTTATTCTGGTTTTTCAGGGCAAGCTAGCAGAGATCTTGTGGGAAAGCTGTATTATCCCGGCCTTCCGTAAATTGCTCAAATTTTCCAAGGCCTGCTAGCAGAGATTTTGGTGGAATTTCGTATCTCTGAAAAAAATTTGAATGCGTCTCCATTTCGCGTTTTCCACAAGGCGGGCTAGCAGGGATCTTTGCGGAAAATTGTCCTGTCTTACTGTAGCTTCCAAGTTATGCAAATCCGTCAAAAATTCAATATTTTATCTTCTGAACACAGCGCCGCCGGGGGCGTTTGAATAAAACCTTCACAATCACACATACAGCGCACACATTTTAAAGAGACAGGCAAGTCAAGCAAAAGGGGGCGGGGCCAACACAGAGATCATCTAGCCGAGGAGGAGGAGAAGATGGAGGTTTTCACTGGGAGGGGGAAGAGGAGCCGAGGGTACGGTAATACAATTGAGAAATAATTTTTGTTACGTCAAAATTGAAATTTTTTCGATTACGGTAGGTGGTGCGCTTTTTAGGCGAAGGCGAACCGGGCGCGCTTGGCGAAGGCGAAGCGGTTGAGGCCTCCACGCTTGGCGAACGCGAATCGGGATGGGTAGCTGAAAAAATGATGCATTCATGGGAGGGCATGCTAGCGAAGATTCTTTGAGGAATTCCGGGGATGGAGGGAGCAGTTTAGCAGCGTTTCTTTGAGGAATTGAGAAGGAATCCCTTGCATCAGCGGTACTGGCCTGTTAGCGGGGGGATTTTTAGCATTCAACTAAGTTTTCCCAGTAATCCTGTACGCTTCCATAACAAAATAGGAACCATTTTTATAGCATTGTACAAAATTTTTAGGTGTACAAAAAGCGCCTAAAACCCTATAAAATTTTTCACATTTTTCTGACTTTTTGATCAAAAATATATGGAAACTCACCAGATAGGAAAAGATTTTTCGATTTCAAAAACGTTTTACATTTTTTTGTAACGTTTTAGCGATCAAAATTTATTAAAAAATATTGTAAAAATGCATGATTTATCATTTACAGGGACGATAGGAAGAAAAAGAAACGAAAATTAGTTTTCCCCCTGCTAAAAACCCCCCTTGCTAATAGTCCAGTACCGTATCAACCCCTCTTTCAATTTGGTCTCGACAGCTACGTGCAACTCCAAAAGCCGCGTATCTGTCTAGATCCAGTCAATATAATGGGTCGATTTTCGAATTATTAGGTTTATAGTTTCGTATTCCGTGGTTTTCGTGGTCCGTGATTTCCCAATGCAGAAAATCGCGTACTACAACTTCCAAATTACAGCCAGCTGATGGCCTACAGCCAGCCTGCGTGCATGAGAAGGGCAATTTGCATACCCGAGCACCCGGCTTGATTCCCCTGGCCACGTGAAAATCGAGGGCAAATGCGCATAATTGAGTGAAGAGACGCGCGTAAGAGAAACACGTTGATTCCGCTTCCTCAACGAAGGGAAGCGTCATCGCGGAAAGTGACGGAACGGAAGGGAATTTATCAAAACAGGGGCGGACAACGCGAACCCGTTTCTAAAACAACCATTTTTTCCCATTATTAACTTCGTAGCCCTTTGAAAAGCGTTTATTCGCCGTTTTTCGACAAAAATCCGAGAAATCTCATATATCAGAGACGCGGGCTATTTTTCAAAACATCCAAAGCTCTGCCCAAAAATGCGTTAATCTTGCAAGTCTCTCTAAAAAATGGGCATTGAAATCTCAGGCATAATTCGAAGAGAACGCTTATCCAGGCGTAAATAGCCATACAAACCTGGGAGAAAATAGCGTCAGTTCCAGCGTTGGCCAAGTCATACCCTATTTTCCTGGCCAAAAATAGGATTAAAATAGTTTTTGTGAGTCTTTGTGTCTTTTTCAAGTCCACAATAACCGTTGTTATTTTAACTGACCGCTTGGCGAATCCGTACATGGCGCGCTTCTCCTCGGATGGTTCCTCGTCGTCAGAGAACCCCTCAACGGCCGATCGCTTGGCGAAGGCGAACCTGGAATTTTATATAGAATTTAAAATGATAGAAATTAACAGGAAATTATTGTACGAAATAGTTTCAATAGAGTTTATTTCAATAACAGAAGAAAAATAGAAAGAGAAAATCGCCAATTTTTGTACCTCATGGGACTCCGCTTGGCGAAGGCGAACTGGCGCATGCGCTTCTCGGCGCTCGGGTCCTCCTCCGAGATTAGCTAAAAACCGATGAATTCAAATATTTTGTGTAACATCTGGATATTTAGCACCCTTGCTACCGTAATCAGTTGTGAATTTACCGTTTTTACCGTGATTTTTTTGCCCATTTCGAGCTGAACTTCCGGCATGGCTACTTTTTCTCGGTTTTCAAGCGGCTTCTAAGCCCCCCAGTTACCGTAGCCAAAGAAACCTGGTGCTGAGAAATGTCGTAAAAAGTTCGTTGTTCTCGATCTACCGTAATCATCTTCGAAAAATACGATAAATCTGGCTTTTTCCGGGAGAGCAGCAGCTACCTGCCTATATCACGGATCAATCTCTGTGCTACGACATAGCCATTATAATTATAGCTTTGTCATGCAACTTCCCTTACCGTTAGCTTGGCTAAAGTCTGCCCCAGCCACCGTACCCCTCCGCCCTACCTGTTGTGCCATGACGGTGGCGGCGAGTGTGCAGAAGAGAAGGGAGTACAGCGTCGAGTTCATTGTTTCGGCTGAAGCGAAAGGGGGACCCACTAGAATCAGACAAAGTACGAAATACACCAAAAAGCCTTGAAAAATTATATAAAATTTACAAGCAAAAAATACAAATATAGAGCGTATTTTGAGAAATTTCAGGCTTTTGTGAAAATTAGCAAAATAAATATTCAAAAATTCAAGGATTTTAGGCTATTTTGAGGCTTTTTAGTTTGTTTAAAGGCCCCAGCAAGGCCTTGCCAGTCGCTTTAAAGTACATGGGAAGCTTAAAATAAGCAAAATAACTGTTTTTTTCGATAATTTCCGTGCGTTGCGTGTCGCGGCGTCGGCAAAATCCATAGTAAATCCACACCCAAAAATCTACAGCCTCTACAGCTTTTCCAGTCCCTTAAACTTCTCAACCGCCTAACAAAATTTTTAGAATGTCTAAAGAATGGCAAGACATGTCGAAAGTCTGGCTCGGGGATACGGTAGTTGGACTTCCGGGACCTCCGGAAGGGGAGAAGTCGCTCTGTGAAAGATGCGAGGGGAAGACTCGGATAGGGGACGGGTCATGAAAGCTTTTTATTTGGTCGGATGAGAGATGAGACGGAGGGGAGGGGGAGATGCTCCGCCTCCTTCTCTTCTGAAGAAGAAAAAGAAGATGAGCCGCTCCTCGTTGACGAAATTGGTGAGGGCAGGCTGGCAGGGGTTCTTTGAGGAAATTGAAACATGCGCAAACACGCGCAAGTGGGAGGCTAGCAGAGATTCTTTTGGAACTGTGGCACTTGGGCAAGCTAGCAGGGATCTTTGCGGAGCGGCAGTTTTAGGGCCCGGCTAGCTAGCAAAGACCCTTGGGGATCAGAGTCTAGCTAGCACTGATTCTTTGGGAAACAAGCCGGCTAGGTGAGCTAGCAAAGATCATTGGAGGCAAAAGTTGGGAAAGATTCTTTGAAAATCAGGATCGGCAAGCTAGCAGAGATCGTTTAGGAGCAAATACTTTCGCGGGCGGTGAGGGCAAGCTAGCAGCGATTCTTTGCCAACCTGCGACAAATCCTGCTGAGTGAGACTCGGCAAGCTAGCAGAGTTTGCTGGTTAAGTTTCAGATGAACTTTTTTGAGACATTTCGAGCAGTTTTTAACGTTTTTTTTAAAATATGCGTGCAAGACGGCCTATATTTTTAGTTGGCGATGAATGTTTTATGAATTTCGAAAAATCCAAAGTCGTGCCATGCCCGCATCCTTAAATTCGACCTCGAAAAAAATAGTTTACCTTCAGGCTCGACCCCGGGGGCGGCTAACCCAATTTTTCACACGTCTCCGGTGCTGTTAATATCATTTCAAGTATCCTATCTGGAGCGATATGATGTTGCCTTTCCATCTCATCCAATCAAAATCATGCCCAATTTTCTGCGTTGCCCAGGATGCCGCGTAGATCCGATTATCCGTATGCTAATTGTGGGCGCCGGAGGGTGGGGGCGGCGGTGGATCAGAAAAAAAGAGATATCCGGTGATATCATGCTGAAAGCTGCATGAATACGGTAGATTAAAAGGATCTTAGCAAAAAAGTCCGTCACCTTCCGCAAATTGTCTTTGCTGGCTGCCCTTGAGGTGGACAGAGGAATTTTCAAGGAACCCTTGTTTTTAGGAGCATTTCGATATGTGGTTCGATATGAAACGCGACGGACAACGCGACACGCAATGACTCACGTAACGCGCCAAGCAACGCGACACGCAACGCGACCCGCAACGCGACGGGCAACACGACAAGCCACCTGACACGCAACGCGATATGCAACGCGACACGTGACGCGTCACGTAACATGACGCACCGGCACGAAACACGTCACGCCAAGCCAGATGACATGTGGCGCGACCCGTGACGCGATAAGCAAGGCGTCGCAACGCAATGAACGCGACGAAACGCGACACGCAACGCGACGAAACGCGATACGCAACGCGACTGGCAACACGCTAGGCAACGCAACACAAAGTTCGACAAGCAACGCGACACGCAACGCGTCACGCAACACGTCACGCAAACGCATAGCGCCTGTTTGCATCTCATTGCCGTCCGTCACGCGTCCTGTGTCAAGGCGGCGGGTGCCTTTCGTGCCCCAAAATCACTGGAAATCGTTCTGATTGTGCGCTTCAAAAACTCAACTCCCCGTAAACAAATTAATATGCTTTTTCCGGTAATTAGATTCAGAGAAATGGAATTTCCTTTGCAGCAGCACACTACAAAACACAACTGAAGACGAATAATGAGATAATTACAAAAGTACAAAGTCTCTAACATTTCTCAAAATCGGGAATCTCCTAGTGAACAATGCCTGACCAAGCCCTGAGCAAACCAGAGGGGCGTGAAATAGAATTTCTGCTCAAGCAGCTACACAACAAGAAGGAGTTCTTCGATTTCTGGGCAGGGTGTGAGCAGGAGGGATGAATGACGCTTTTTGCCTCCATCAGACGCTTGATGTAATTTATCTCGTAGCCAGTGGCTGTTCCGCTTCGATCAACAAAGCGTTCGGGTGGAAGATATTTAATCGGACAGAGAACGAGGTGGAGGGACAACAAAAATGCGAGTATTGAGAATTCAGAAATCACTCTCCTGCCGAATCTTTGCTAGCCCGCCCCCTCCATCCCCTCCAATTCCTCAAAGAATCTTTGCTAGCCAGCCCCTCCATGCCCTCCAATTCCTCAAAGAATCTCTGCTAGCCTGCCCCCCTCCATCCCCTCCAATTCCTCAAAGAATCTCTGCTAGCCTGCCCCCGTCCATCGCATCCAATTCCTCAAATAATCTCTGCTGGTTAGCCCCAAATTTTTGATGTTTGATCAAATGTTTCTCCTCCCAAGATTACGTGGTTTTTGTGACCCAAATAGTTTCCAACGCCCCGCCAGTTGCTAGCCATTCCCTTTCGGCTAACAACGAACGGGCCATGGGGGGAGAGATCTGAGGTCCAGCAAAACCCATCAATCCCCTCATTAAACCGCTGGAAATTGGGCTTTTTCCTCAGAGGAATGGAAGAACATGACGACGACAAGAAAAGAAGAAATCCAGCCTTTCGTCTCCCCGGATATGCACATTCTAACGGCCATTATTGAGCTCATAAAAATGGGGGAACATGGAAATCTGGAGGGCCCAAAAATCTGGCGAAACTGGAATAGTATTCGAATTTTTCTGAAAGCTAAAAACTTAATATAACTGACTAAACTAAATAAAAGAGACTGAGAAATGCCAAAATCGACCTCTCGTAACTGTTAGGTTTCCCACAGCTACCCCACACTTCAAATGACGCAATTGGATGTTCCTAGAGACACCGGAAAGAGCAGGATGTATAATTTGGAGCGGCACGTAGTTGTCTAGACCTAGTTGTTCAGAGGGTCGATTCTCGCTGGCACAGTCCTTTAAAATAGCTAGAAAGCGCGAAATCAACCCCCTATTATCCACTAGGTCTCGACAGCTACGTGAGGCTTCAACTGACATCTGCAAATAGCCGCCAATAACGGTATTTTGTTTCTTTGAAAGATACTATGATACCACGGAATAGATTCCTATTATCGACTAGGTCTCGACAACTATGCGACACTCCAGAAAACGGACGCAATCGGCCCCGAATTCTTGAGCGTGACGTTTCAGCAAGGATTCAGCGGATATTGCGCACGTTTTTAGGAGTGCCACGTAGTTGTCGACACCTAGTCGACGAAAGGGGGAAATTTTAGCACTTCATAGTCCCTTTAAAACACGACAAACAAACCCGCAATAATCGATCAAACTGCATAGCTTCAAAGATGCGTTGGAAGATCCAAAAATCAAAACATTTCGTCGTCTAAGGTATTCTCGAAATGTGGCAAGGTGCCAAAAAAATTTTGACGCGGAACATCATCCACACCACCCACCTCCTTGTCGCCCTGGAAGCGGAAACACAGGGAGGGGAAAAGGGTAGTCCGGAAGGTGAGAACAAGATGTTTGTTTTTATCAAAAAAGATAGAGAGACAGAGAGAGAGAGAGAGAGAGAGAGAGAGAGAGAGAGAGAAGGAGAGGGAGAGGGAGAGTGAGAGAGAGAGAGAGATACCGCGAAGGAGGCATGGAAAGATCAAAGCCTAGAAGTTGTTGACGTCAATACCAGGAATCCCGAAGAAATTTATAACTTTTGGGGCGGTGCCCAAAAATGGCCTTCATTAGCCGATGTGAGGGTGGTGGGGGGGGCAGAAGAACGGAAAATTAGATTTCATGAGGGAGAGCTCAAGCATTAGCCATTCAAATGGAATAAGTATATTCGGTGAGGGAGGTAGGGGGATACACTTTTTCGGGTGTTCCTTTACCCTTAAATTCTCCTCCATAATTCATAGGGTTCATCACGGGGAGAAGGAATATATTAGGAAGTGCCCATCGAGGAGATGATGTTGCGAGGATCGGGGCTGAAATTAACGATTTAATGATCCGAAAAGAGTCTCTGCTAGCCTGCCCCCTCCATCCCCTTCAATTCCTCAAAGAATCTCTGCTAGCCTGCCCCATCCATTCTGCTCTAATTCCTCAAGGGATCTCTGCTAGTTCCCTCAACTTTTTTTCTTAAAATAATTGAAACCGATCCGGGACTGAAGTTCAATTTCGAGCAAATTGCGCGCTCGGGCCAAAATATTTGTCGAAAGACGCTGTGCTTTCAGCTGGCACCAGATTCCACCCGACCCCAATTTCGGAGGCCTAAAAGAGGACCCCCCAAAAAATTCCCATCTCCCGTATGCAAATAATTTAGTGGGCTTTTTTGGGTGGGGTGGGGAGTCTCATTCTGGATGAGCGGCAGTTCATACACTGGAGATGAGGAACTTTTGGGGGAGTTTTATCGGTCGCGGGCTGGACAAATTCTTTAAGGAATCGATCGCTGAAAGTCTGCCTTGTCCGTGCCTTTAAATGGGCTAGTAATTGCGAGAATCGACCCCCGAGAATCGACTAGATCTCGACAGCTACGCGCCACTCCAAAAAGGCCTGAAAGATCTGTTCTATCCGTTCCCAAATGGCCATCCGTAGAGATATCATAATGACGACTTGCCTGTATCATTTGGAGCGCCATGTAGCTGTCTAGACCTAGTGGAGGAAAGGGGTCGATTCTTGCCCTTCCTAGTATATTTAATCGATATTACGATTCGTGATTTGGCGTCTAGCGTAGTTGTCGAGACCTAACGGCTGGACTTGGCCGAGTCTGGAGTTTTCTAGTTACGTTAATAGCTACTAAAAGATAGCATTTAGAGTGTCGCGCCGCCGTCTAGACCTAGCCGATTGAAAGTCCAAATTTTAGAGCTTCCAGGTCCAACTCGAATTTTTTGAACTCCATAGGAATCGATTTTCCAAATTCCTCGGAGACGATCCGATTCCTTCTTTCTGGAAGCGCAATTTTCTGCAGCAAGAAAATGGCCGCCTTACGACCCGAGAAAAATCAGATAAGGCGTTTTTCAGCCAAAACAAAAAACTAGCAGGCTTTCAACACAAAAATCTGACACAACAAAATGAATTAAATCATTTCCATTTATCCGCACACCGGTAAATTTACAAAACAATCATCGCAAAAAAATGGGGTAAGCGCAAAATTAAGCTTCTATAGGTGAAAAATTGAGCCGAATTATGTCAGGGATTTTTCGGAAATGCAGGTGATAGGAAAGTTCACGCAAAAAAAAAATTGGGCTAAAAATCTGGAATGAATGAAATTCTGGGGAATGCTTGGATATGAGTGTTCTTCTAGGAAAGAGGAAAGAAGTGAAAGTTCAGATTTGAAAGGATACGGTAGTCGGGGCTATTTTATAAAACATTTGGGACCAGTATCGAGGTGTCTAGGGGACTAAATTATACAAAAAACCAAGTTATTACGGAGCTTTTGTATTATCGGGGGGAGAGAAGGAAAATTTTTTCCATACGTACGTTATTTTAATGGTATTTTTAGTAAGATTTATATATAGGTGACGTGAAAAACTTGGAAAAAAGTTACAAAAGCTAAAAAATCCGAAATTTAACTCGAAAAATCCATATTTTTGAATTTTGATCGTAAAACTCTTTCAAAAACTCCTCTATTTATATTAGTTATTCTTCTATTTAACAGTTCCCCCCGATAATGCCAAACAACCGCAATTACGTGAACATACGTAATTTAAGGTCACTATAGGGCAGAATTGAATTGCGTAATCGATTTACAGGCAGTGATTTTGGCAGGAAATGGGTTTGGCAAGGTTTTAAAAAATTTTTAAATACTTAGCTGCCCAGTAGCGCTTAAAAAGTTCGATTTGGTTACTGTACCCCAAAAATTGGCGTGCTGGGACCCGAATTCGTGGCCTATTTAGCGCAAAGAAATCGCCGAAGAACGGAAAAACCGCTAAATAATTCAGCCAAACCCATTTTCCTCCGCGGGCGGCGTTCGGGGTGGAAGCTTGGGGGTTTTGTGCCTGTTAAAAAACGCTAAATCTTACGAAAAGCGGAAGGACAACGCACTTTGTAGCTGTTTGTAGCGCCGAAAAAGAAAAATACAGAAAATTACGTTTTTAAAAAAAATTTCGGCGCTAAAGTAGTTTGTAACAGAAGCATTCAATTTTCAGCGAAACGACGTGACTGTACACTGGACACAAGTGTACGCGTGGCGCCTAGATGCGGTAGACCTTGCGGTATCGCAGCCGGTCGAACCCGCCGACCTTCGAGCCGATATCCCCGTTTCGGACGAGCTGGATCGTCTTCCAGTCGCCCTTGCCGAGCATGTCGCGCAGCGTCTGCTTGAAGTTCGAGCGCGCTTTTGAGCGAAGGCATTCCTAAATAGTTTTATATCGTAAAAAAATACATTCTTAGTTGTTAAAAATCACTGAAAATAGAATTTTGTTAAGCGTGGGATTGTTAAAAATAATTAAAAATGCATTTGTGGCTTTTCAAAATGCATTAAAAGTAGGTTTGTGTTTTAAAAAACCATTAAAAAATACAGTTTTCGTTTTTCAAAATCGTTAAAAAATAGATTGACATCTGCTTAATCCATAAACAACACATTAGCGTTTTTATAAACGTTCGAAAACAAATTCTTAAGTTTCAAAATCCCCTAAAAAAAGGTATCGATCGAATTTTCGTGATGTTCGATTATTAAAAGTTGGGCAGAACTTTAGCGATTGCAATCTGCAGGAGATAGGTTTTTATCGCGCTCTTTCTATACGATTTTACAACGTGCCGCTTTGAAAACTTGCAACAATTGTAGCTAGCTGATCCAGTTTCGGCTTTGAAACACTTTAATAAGCTTTAGCTATTTTTTAACTGACCTGTTTCCGCTCGTTGACTTGCGCCGTCTTGCTGAGAATTCCCTGCTCGAGGGCGATATCCAGTGAATCTTCGCGACATCTGGAAAAATACTTTTTCTAAAATACAGGGCGTAGAAATAGGCATTTCCCTGAATTTTGTATCTTCAAAGTGGGGGGTTTCGCTAGGAAACTATTGCTGCAAAGCCACGCCATTGCTATTGTAACAAATATCATTAATTTTGCGGAAGCGGAACTCAGAGAAACAACGCAAAACCTGTTAAATATCTACAGAAGAAACCGATAAAGCGCGCGCAGCAGAATCTCTTCATAGCCTATTCAATAGAATCTTTTTAGGGGGTCAGTTGCAAATCTCAAGCTCCATGTTACAGGAAACCCGGTACGTCAAGAAACCGGCCGAGCCAATTAGGGCTTTTTTGGCGCTATTTCGTCACCCCGGGGGCCGAATAGGAGCCGGGTCGTCAACATGCCACAAAAAGACTCGAAAAAGTTATTCCATTGTTCCAATTGCAGACAATTACTATAATTCGGTCATTTTTATTTAGCCTTAGGGTTTAGTCCTTTATAGACGCCATCCAGCAAAAATATCATTACCGCAAACACTAGCATCAAAAAAATAGCGCCTTTCTCTACGGTAGGCCCTGCGTTCCAGGATTATTTTTAGAGCTGGTATCCTTCGGTATTGATTTGGTGTTGTTGTAGCCAGTTCTGACCATTATTTTGACTCATCATTGGCTGGTCATCTTCAGCCAGTCACCCTGCAGCCCCGAATCCACACACACACATTAGCTATTCATTTGTGTGCGGGCTTCTTCTCCGTCTTCTCCTTCTTGTCCTCCTCCTTCTCCTCCTCGCGCCAGCCGCCCTCGTCGGGTCGGTCCCGACATCGCAGTGCAAACAGATAGTCCGCCCAAGGCTCTGTGTGAGCCTGGGGGCCGGGATGCTGGCTAAAAGGCACAGCAGCACAGCCACCGATCAATCGAGTGTTGGGTGGGGGTTGTGTGGGGATGCTTGGCGGGATGGCTGGCACCGAGCATCCCACTGGTGGGCGTGGCCTGGGATGCTTGGCGTGGCGCTCGCCCACCTAACCAGCCTTCACCTCTGATGGCACAAATCTTGTGTGTGGGCCAAGCGCTCGTTTTAACCGTTTCCGTTTGGGCCCACTGGCGCCTGCTCCCGTGTCCTCTCCCCTAGCTAGCCATCGAATCGGTTGTGTGTAATCCGCGCTTGTGTCGCCTTGGCTGGTGGTGTTCGAGTGCGTTTTGTCGCGCACCTTCCGGTCGGGGCTTCTCCATGCTTTAGAGCTTGTAAAGCGTGATAGACTTTAGGTATTTCTAATAATCTTTCTTCTAATCTGATTTTATTCTTCTTATAACAGCAACAGGGGCGTAGCCAGAAAAAAAATTTCGGGGGGGGCCCCGAAAAATTTTTTCCGAAAAACTCAAAAAATTAAGGCAAAAACAGCGCCGCAGGCGAAAAATTTTGGAAAAAGGGTTGCATAGCTCTACAAATAGCAGTAAAAACGTGTAAAAAATAGCGCCGCAGGCAGCAAAATTTTTGAGAAAATAAAAATCATAAGGGTCCCCCCTTATGAAATTTTCGGGCCCCGGCCGATTTCGGGGGGGGCACCGGGCCCAGGGGGGCCCACCTAGGCAACGACTACGTAGGACAACGTACGTCCCTGACTACGTACGTACGCTACGTCCCTGAACAGCAAAAGCTTCATATTTGTTTGAAAACCTAGGCTAACTGTCAAGCTTGACGTAATCTCCTTGAAATGCTACTTTTCCTCGATCTTTCTAAATTTCCGGCCTTTCCCACGTTCCTACAACAAAGCTTACCCCATTCAGCTTCTAATTCAATCAAATTTTTCCTATTTTCCTGGGAAAATCACATCTAAACGAGTAACATTCTATCTTATAGCTCGCACTAGAGTCATCTGCGACTTTTTCTAACTTTTTTACGCTATTTGTTTTTCTTTTTGTTTTCAAAACGTTTTTCGCTTTTTTGAGCAAATTTTGTTTTCCATAAGGTTCCCGCTTAAAAGTTGGACCAAAGACCGTATCAATTACGAAGTACAACCCCCGCAAGGTCCTGCAGCGAAAATTAATAACTTTCGAAGGGTCAACTTTGAAAATTTCTTGATGGTTTCCGATTTTCCGTCCTTTTGCAAAAATTATAACGTTTGTTAGCAACGGTCACGTTTCGCAACTTTTTTCTCACCTACACTTTTCACCTCTAACGTCTCTTTTTCCCCGCTGTTTGCCGTTTGTTTGCGGTGTTCACGCCGGCGCGCCCTTTCCCCTGTTTTTTTCGCGCGGCGTAAACGGTGTCATGACCCCTTGCGGGGAAAGGGGCTTTTTGTTTTCTTTTTCTGGTGTAGTTTTTGCCGATTCCCTATTAATTTTGCTTTTTGCAGATCCCTACAGCCAAAATGACCGACCGCAAAGCAGTGATCAAGAATGCCGACATGAGCGAGGACATGCAACAAGATGCCATCGACTGTGCGACGCAAGCCCTCGAAAAGTAAGCGCGATCCTTCCTGCTTAAACTCTTTTTGTTTAGGTACAACATCGAGAAGGACATTGCCGCCTACATCAAGAAAGAGTTCGACAAGAAGTACAACCCGACATGGCACTGCATTGTTGGACGAAATTTTGGATCGTGAGTTTTCTTAAATCGTTTGGGTGGCCTATTCACGCTCTGCTACGCATCTTGAATCATCGCCCTTTCGCAAAAACGCCGTCAAAACCTCCGGATTCCATTCTTTGTTCGTTTCTGAATCGCGGGCCCCCGATTACTTTTGCTACGTAGCAGAACACTGCGCGTTTGTCGGGGCTTCCCCCGGCCCGCTCCATTTGCTCCTGATAGCCTGCCTTATTAATCCGCTCTTTTTCAGGTACGTGACCCACGAGACGAAGCACTTCATCTATTTCTACTTGGGCCAGGTCGCCATCCTACTATTCAAGAGCGGGTGAAGACGGTGTGCCGCGCGCCGAAGAAAATTAATTTACAGTATAAAACCAATGCTTGAGACCATATAAAACCGGAGACGAGTTTGCGAATAAAATTTGACCGTTTTGATTTTATGTTGGAAACGAATTAGCACTGGACCTTTCAGTTTGGATTCCCACAATTTTTTAGGAGATGCCTTTGACATATTGCGAGCGATCCGTTGGTGGCGAAGACAGCCAAGCCGGCAGTGAAGCTTGGCTTCAAGAATTTGCACAGGGACGCTTGCTCGCTGCTACTTTCCCGGTTCAACTCACCGATCAAAGTGCGGACAGCACTCACGAAGCCGACTGCACTTCTCCTGGATCAAGTTGGCGTCCTAAAAAGAAGCATGGTGACGGCGTGATGGTCTCTGCGTACCGCGAAGCATTCGCCGCTCTTCTGATAGTCTGCAGACAGGATCCGAAGTAGCGCCTCGTCGTACGTTGCCGCCTTCTCTGGGCCGTACGGGATGCAGACGACCTTGTCGAACTGGAAAGGGGCAGTTTGAGTCTAGATTTCTATGATTGAGCGGCCTAGTTCTTGATCGAGGTTGTACTCACGATGTTCTCGTTTTTCTTGTCCAGGCACTGGCGGATTTTGCCGTTCCTTCTGATCATTAGGTTGTAGAGTGACTCGTAGTAGGGTCGGTCTTGCGGATCACACAAGTCGTCGCCGCTGAAAGGCGACTTTTGTTAGTTTTCGGGTTTGAATACCGATAGAGTAGACTTTCCGAGCTCTCCGCCAGCGACATCAGAATTTTCACGGAGGCGAATCGCCATGCGCAACCGTCAAGCGCGAGATGCATCTAGAGAAGATGTTTTGGCGCTATTTCGGAATAGGGGACCCACTTTGATTACTCTAAAAACCACTTCTTCTGGTGTAATTTTGCGCGCTTGTTCCGAAATACGGTGTCCCAGTGCGTTAAGTGCGCTAAGTATAATCTAAGTATTGGAACACACACGCTTCCGTGTTTTAATAACAGCTTATCGCGACCTTACTTTACGTTACAGGGGCGAAGAGCCGGCCTAGTTTACAGGTGGGCTCTACCCACGTTAACATAGATCAGGGTCGCCTAGGCTTGGTCTCAATGAATCTAAGATCGGGCTTACTAGCATTTAGCATTATTTATGCATACGTTTAAGCCTCAAAAACGGAGCTAAGAGTGTATTGTAGCCAAAAGTCGGGCCTGCGCCGCTAGGTTCCCTAGCAGCCCATTAAACTAAAATCAATTTTTTTTTTTGTGAAAATGTTAGGTTTTAAAGTTAGTCAGGTGTTTTTTAGGAACCAGCGCGCAAAACTATCCAGGAAAACATCGCACAAACCCCAGTTTTGGTATAATAAAAGTGGGTCCCCTATTCCGAAATAGCGCCGATGTTTTTGTGGCTTTGCCTCGTCAAAAAGCTCGGGGCAAGCTGGAAGCGCGTTTTGTGGAATTTCAGCTCACCTGATTCCTGCACCTCATGTAGACGTCGCAAGTTGACTCGTTTCGGCTGCCAGGTCCCTAAACGTGCCGTTATTTCGAGGCCAAAAACAAGTGGAAAGAAGCGGTGCATTGAAAATAGCCCACTTCACGATCTTTATGCTGCTTCTCCACCTCGGCCCGGTACTTTTGCAGCCACTCGCTGGTCGGGCCGGTCTCTTCGGTCTCGTTCTAGATTTTATAAAGTAAAAAAGCACAACGTGAAGGCTGACCGGATCAGTAAGAGGTTAATCTAAGCTTTTGTGAATTTAATACGTTTTCGGTTAGCTATTTTGTTTACCTCGGGCTTTTTGTCGATTTGCAGGTTATGACCGGAGATGACGAGCTTCTCAACGCCGTCTGAAAGTATTTGAACTTGGAATTATAACCGAAAACCTCAAAGGGTTAAATTCAGAAAAGATCCCTTCAAAGAAAACGAAACATATTCAGAACATGGTTAAAAAACATACCTTCCATAATGATCTTATCTCCATTTTCGGTTTCTTGGGTGCTCGGGGGCTCTTCGGTGGTGGTTAGGGCTTCTGAAAATTGTGGTTTTTAGCAGAGGATAAATTTAGTGTAGCCGCTAGCGCTATTTAGCGCGCTAGAAACAAATCCTGACCTTCTCCAGAACCCTCAAGCTCTCCAGACGCATCGGTGAACGTCGGCTCGCCGCTGCCGGATCTGAAGAAGGAGCCGGGTTTTTATCCAAGGGCTACTTCTAATTTGAAAAGATTTTTAGTTAGAGTCCGGCTAGAAGCGCAACTAGTACAACTACAAACCCCTCGCCATCACCGCTGCCATCATCCAGCGGATCGCACTCCATCGCGGCGATTTGGGCATCTTCCTCTGGGTAATCGGCATTGTCAAAGTCTGGAATTAAAGGTTATACACTTTATTTTATAACTTTTCAGCGCTAAAATCCTTTATGGGGAAGCCTATGAGTGCAAAAAAACTGACTGGCATGGATGTTCTGCTTCAGCAACCCGAGGTTGACCTGGTCAAAGTGGTCGATCAGTTTGTCGAGGGCTTGGCCGATCTAAAAAAGGTTTATTTAGCCTAGTTTATCTAGTTTGAAGTCATTTCTCTCGGAAACAATTTTTCTTACAGCTTTATTCTTGTTTCGCAGTTTAGCGTCCATAATTCGCCCGCGCACGTCGTGCTGCCAGTTGTCAAGGAGTTCTAAAAAGCATTTTTTCGGTTTTTTTGGACTTCTAAAAGGTTTTCAAGCTTTTAGCACGGCTGATAACGGTAATAAAATAGTAGATAATTTTTAATTTGATTTTTGAAGTAGATACAGTGGAAAAGCTCTGAAAAATTGCCAAACCCTTGATTTCCTGCATATCCGCGCTCTCCTCGTTTTCTCCCAGCAAGCTCAGGATTTTCTCCATCTACAAAAATAATCATCATTGATTGAAATTAAGGTTTTCAGACCTTTTTCGTCTTGCTGGCGTGCAGCCGCTTCAGGCCACATCCAAGTTTAGTCGGCGAGCGGCGAACGCCATCACTTCCTGGTTCGGGCAGGAAGATGACGGGGGAGGAGGTTACTAACAAGGATTATAAACAACATTTTAGACTCTGAATATTTATTAAATTTACCAAAATGTGCGCCTTTTTAAACTTTAAACTCGCATACCCCTCATCGCCCGAAAAATTAGCTAAAAGCGGTTAAAATTGTTTATTTTAGACCCGGTTTGGGTAAAATGTTGCTTTTTTCTATAAGTTTTGACGTTTAGGACTGATTTTGGGCTTGACATACGATTTTAACATAAAAATTTAAACCCTACCAGTTGCCGACTCGGTAACAACTCGACCATCATCGTCAAATTGAGCATCAGCTCGCGTGTACGTCGGCTCGCGCCCGAAGTGGGCTTCAGCGCGTACCGTTTCTCCGGCAAGGCCTTCGCTTGCTAAAAAAAATAGTAGGTTTTTAGCCACTGACGTAGTTTTTCCATTTTTATGCGATTTTGATGCGCGTTTTGCACCAATTTTGGTCAAAATCCGAGCCAATTTATGCTAGTGAATCGAATTTCTTCTGAATTTCCTGGATTAGCGTTTTTCCTTGATCAGTTTAGTGGCATTTCTTTTTATTGTCAGTCTTTACGTTTTCTATACAGCATGTGGTAGGCTTTTAGTAACTATTTTGCTCAAATTCGGCCAAAATTGCGCCAGAGCGTCGGATTTCACCGGATCCGGTCTCTATTTTGCCTAGATTACGCCCAGATTCGCCCACATTACTCATTTATACGCAAAATCCAGCCAACGATGACATTTTTGAGGTATCCGCCCGGAATTATCCTTGGAAATTTGTTGGGATTAGACGTAAATTCACCTCAGAGACCCCCTAAATTACTCATTGCCGTTCAAAATTGCGATTGACGTAGGTTTTATTAAATTTTCGATGGCCGTTAAATTTAATTTGGCGAAAAGAAATGACAACCAATTTTTTTAGGAAGTTTTTGGACCCTTTCTCACCTGGCGGGATTTCGGCCACGCGGAACAGGGAGCTGAGCGTTTGGTCGATTGCCTAAACATTTATTTTACGATAATTCGGTGTTATAGAATCATAGAAAAAGGTTATAGCGTTTAGTAGGTTGCTAAAGCTTGAGCTGTTAAAAGGTTAGGGTAAGCATAGGTATGGTTAATCAGGTTTTGATCCCAATAAGCGTATTTTTAGAGGAACTTGGAGGTCAACTAAAGCTTTTTTAGCAATGAAACAGGATGAACTTAAGTCGCCAGACTTTTAAATGTTAATCCTATTACTTTTGGAGCAAAATAGGCCGTTTATCGATATTCTTCACCTCCAAACACCTCCAAATTCCGCTCCCCTCCACCCAGCACAAACCGTTAGCGAGCGCTTCTGCACAGCACGGTGACTTCGGGAGGCGCGGAACGCCGCGAGGTGTTGCTCAATCGACGCTCTACCGTAATTTGGTGTATTTTGTAGTCCAGGTCTGGAGAAGCGCCTATAGACGCTTCGTTTTTCTCCTTCCAAATCCGTCCAGAGTTGCGCGGGCGCGTCGTTGTCCGGGATGGTGGTTGTAGTCTTCGATGTTGAGCTTGAATTTTCTAGCGCAGTCTGGATATTTTTAGGGCCTTTTGTAGTTGTGGTTTGTAGTTTGTAGTTTTGTAGTTCATAGCTACTAGAATTTGTAGTGTGTAGTGTCCTCACGGCGCCTGGCAGTGGGTAGACTACATTTTTCTCGGGGTTTTTGGAGCTTGTAGTTTGTAGCCGCTCCGATTCTGATGCCGATTTTGGCACGTTTATCGTTGTACTTTGTAGTCTATCGCCAGTAGTGCCGGTAGTTGTACTTTGTAGCCATGTCGTAGACCCAATTTCTAGCTGCTTTTTCGAAGTATTTTCCACTTTGTCAAGCTTCTCATTTCCAGCTTGATTTCCACGACTTTCCGCCCCATTCTCGGAGTGTAATTTGGAGTCGTTCGTCCTCACGACAGCCGTTTTGAGCCCGTCTGGTGTTGGCGGATTCCTAGGCTCAAATCCCACCCGGTTTAGCGACTTTTGCCGACTTTCATACTCACTACTGGTCCCGTTTAGTGTATGGAAACGTACATGGAGAATCGGCGCTCCAGAAGACCTTGGTACCGACGTCACCGAGTTCACGACTTTCAGAGTAGTGGAGTATTTGGCTTTTGGCAAGAAGCCAACGCTTTTCGGGAATGTCGTGTCGATTTTGACGAGGTTTAGGGGCGAGTTTTTCGGGGTCGTAGTCGATTCTGAAGTCTTAGAAGTCGTAGAATCGGGTTTTGGCGAGTTCCCAGAATTTTCAGAGGTTGTAGAATCGTTTTTTAAGGTAGCGCCGGAATGTTTCGCCTCAGTTTTATCGATTTTCTGGTTTTCCGAGCTACTTTCCAAACGTGAGCCATTAGTCCGTCGATTTTCAGACCCAGATGGAGCTACAAATTCCGTAGATTTGTCATAGAAATTTTCTGAACTCGTCGAGCTCGTTGAACTCGTTGAATTAGCTGTAGTTGACGTAGGTGTCCCGATTTTTCTATCTTTTTCTTCCGATCCCGTGCCATCACGAATGACACCGGTTTCCGGAAATTCCGAATGCACTTCAAGATCTGTCCAGCCTACGGTAGACGTTTGAAGTACGGTAGTTGTCGTGACATTTTGATAGCTATTGATCTTTCCCTCGTGAATAGGCACTTTCGTAGTCGGATCCGCAAAATTCGGCCCAATTTTCATGGCGTAATCGGTTCTATTAGTATTTTTAGAGTTATCGCCGGTTAGTCCCTCCATCATCCCGGTGGTTATGCGCACGAGGGGCGGGGTTACGGTAGTAGTGGTAGTAGTGGTAGTAGTTGTTAGGTTCTGAATTCATTTTCGCGATGTTTTAAGCAAGTTTTTAGTGGTTAATTTTATTTTAAAGGGACCAGGAGGCAAAAACCCACAGTAGGTTAGCTATGCTACGTTACGTTCCTCCTTACACTAGTTTTTCGAACCTTAAAAAGCTATTTTCAACGAATTTTTTACGTGGTTTTGGTCCCGAAATGACTTGAGAAAAGTTGGAAAATTGCCGATGCTGAGTTTTGCCTTCCTAGTCCCTTTAAAACTCAGAAAATCCAATTTTTTGTACCTGGTCCTCCCGCTCGATCGACAGTCCAAAATCGGCTTCGGTCTCTTCGAGCTTATTTCCACTTGCTGGCACCTGGACTTCAGTGGCGGCGCCCTGGCCAATCGTGCCTAAAATATTTTTTTCCTAGCTAAAGACCCGGATCTAGGAGTCGAACTTGGTGACACCATCCCTTTTAAGGGGCCGGGAAGGCATTGATATGGGCTTTGGGGCCGAATTTCTTATGGATTTGACCGCGCCCGCAACACGCAACGCGCCCAAGCTCCAGATCATTGCGTAATTGATACGTGCGTACGTCACGTGGCAAAAAGGCAAGTTTCTGCCATGAATTGGCTGACCGCGACACGCAGCACGCCACCTCCAGCCCAACGGGAAAGTCTGTAATCTATTACGCAAGGAAAACCGAGCGCGCGCGTGGCGTGTCGCGACGCGGCTAAAGCCTAGGATATCCATAGCAAAAAGAAATGGCCCTGACTTGCCCGTGCCTTTAACGATCCGAAATTTCTTAGTGTATAGAGCACTGTCCCGTACCTGGCGGGAACGTCAACCTCGGTTGCTCTACGGCTTCTCCCTTCTGATTTGTGAGCAGTCCTTCTCCTCCTTCGACTCCTTCCTTCTCTAGCAGCTCCTTCACTTGCTTCTCGTGTTTGTCGAGACGGTCGAAGATTTGCTAAATTTGTAGAATTTAAATTTTGCCTTGGGATTTTATTATTGAAGATATTTTTCATACCCTTTTAAAGCGGCTAGGAAACGCCAAAATAGACACTCCTTGAAATTGCGCCAAATTACGTAGTTGATCTCACCGAGTTCGCCGAGTTATATGTGGAAGCTGGTGTTGTCGATGCACCCTCAACTTTCAATGGTTTCGAGGTTACGGTGGTGGCTTCATGGCCTTCCTCCGTACTTCCCGAAGTCGTCGGCGGGCTGGCCGTCGACTGCGTGACGCTGAATTTATAAGGTTGGTTCTAAAATGGCCAGTTCATTCAAAAAAAAAAAAAAAAAAAAAAACAAAAAAAAAAAAAAAAGGGAGAAAAAAAAAAAAAAAAAAAAAAAAAAAAAAAAAAAAAAAAAAAAAAAAAGCCTACGTAATGGTAATCGTCCCCGACGGCGTCAGAATCGGTTTCCTCTCGAATGGATCCTGGAGGCCATTCTTCGAATGGACGGTTGAGCGGAAGTCGGGCAGACCGGGAAGTTGGTTGCCTCTCTAAAGCAAGAATTAGTTTTTATATTTTTATGCGGACGATTTTTAATAACAGGCTATAACGGTTTGGTTCTGACCTCGCAGTGCTCTGCCCTGTTTCTCATCTCGAAAGCGGCCGCTTTGATGCGGTCGAATTCGGGGGAATTGGTGAGTAGAGCTTCGCAGCTGAAAAATGGTATCAAATTCAGCTTTTTTTCACATTTTAATTCAATGAACTATCTCTCTCTCATCGTCTCTCTCTCACTCTTGCTGTCTTTCTCTCTCTCTCTCTTTCTCTCTCTCGTTCGCTCGGTCTTTCTCTCTCTCGCTCACTCCTTGCTCGATCTATTTATCCCTCGCCCTCTCCAAAACTTTTTCGACAATTTTTTCCGCAGGCGTTTCGAGAAATCGCGCCTATTCAAATCACCACGTCCGTTTCCAAAAAACCAAGGAAAACCGACGATCGTTTGCATAATTTTCGGGTCGCCCCCCCCCCCACCCCTGTCCTTGGATACCCCTGGAAATCGCCGCACAAAAAGGGCGTCACCGTTATTTCCGGGCAACGCGATTTTCGGGCTGACATTTCCAGGGGAATCTGGATTTTGGAACCAAAAAATTAAACCGAATGTAGAGAGAAAAATAGGAATATTAAATTCCTTTGGTTATCAAAATTTACGTTTTTCTAGGTGTGGAATTGCCCCGGGAAAACGATTAACGAATAACGATTTCTGGCATGCACTTTTCGCGTAAAGGGAAGCGCAAGACATCCTATGGATTTTTGTCTTACCGGTCTCTTTAAAAACTCCCAAGTCCTCAAAATCTCTCGCTAGTGTTGAAAAATCGGCATTTCCCCTTTAGCTCGGGGCTGTCAATTCTCGGCTGCTGCCCCGCATCTAGCGCCAGATTTTGGTCAAGGCCAGGAGGGGAATGGGTGGATTAGTCAACGAAATGGGGCGAGAGAGAACGAGAGAAAGAGAGAGACTGCCTAAAAAGTCACAGAAAAAGAGAGTATTTGGGTCGTTTTCGGCGCCCCTTCACTACCCTATATGTCCATCAAATAATGAGGAGTTGGAAAGGGAAGAGGGGGTGGTGATGACGCCAGGGGATAAGGGTTTTTGAAACGGTTCGAGATGTCGAAGATTGAGTCGAAAATGGGAGCTGCGGGATTTCGGGGTTTTAAAGGGAGCGTGACAGCCAGCGCAGGCGAGAGGCGGAGACGGAGAGGGTGCGAGAGGGAGTGAGAGAAAGCGAGAGAGCGAGCGGGAGCGAGACGAAATAGACAGAAAAATAGAGCTAGAGACCTAGGGATCGACGAGAGAGACAGAGCTGCAGGGAGCGAGAGACAGATAGAGAGAGCGAGAGAGAGCGTGAGGGAGAGAAAGAGGGAGAGAGCGCGAAATAGAGAGCGAGGGAGAGAGTGCGAGAGAGAAAGAGAATGAAAGACAGAGCGGGGCCTCACAGAGACAAACATATGCTTTAAAGGGACGGGCAAGGCAGGACCTGGATTTTTCGCTCCAGGTTTTCTCCAGATTTTGCCGCGGCGCGAAACTATTCTCTAGCCATAAAATCCATAGCCGTGCCTTGCCCGTTCCTTTAATATACAGTTCCCTTTCAAGGTTTCCATTTTTTCGCGTTTTTCGGGTCAGCAATTGGCATGGTTTGAGAGAGAAACACTGATTGATTAACTATACGCCCGGGTTTGGCATGTTGGCAGAGGAGAGCGTGTTGCAATTTAAGAGAAAGATTGATAAGAGTGGATGGCACTGATGTAGACCATTTCAGGAGGCTATTAAAACTATAAGGAAATCGAATTTCAGGGCGTGGTGTTGAAAAAATAAATTTTAGAGAAAAACTACGCACAAGATCGGTAATTTAGTAGATAAACGTACTCATTAACAGCCTCGCAGCACCCCTTCAGCGGTCCACACTGTCGAGCGATTCTTCTGTCCACTCCGGTGAAGCACCACGTCGGTACGTAGTCGATCGTACGCCCGGCGACAAACTTTGGCGATTGACGCTCAAGACGTGGACATTCGGAGGGCTAAAAAAGTGGAATTTTAACTGGATTTGGAAATTTTCGTGTTCCGGGTCCGGTCTAAAGGAGGTTTTGATGTTTTAAATCAGTTTTGTTGCGTGTTATTTGGCGTGCCGCGTGGTTCTCGAGGCCTAGTCGATTGGAAGGGTTGATTGATTGGCTTTCTGGTGCCTTTAAAAGCTAATAAAAAAGCAATTTTAATGAGTCTTTTCGCAGCTTGCCTGGTTTTGATTTCTAGTCTAGGCAGTCATTCTGGGCTCGATCGGTATTAATTTTTGACTGTTTTGTCGCCCCCTAGTGTGAAAGGGGGCGATTTCCAAGCTTACTTTAACTTTTAAAATCTTGAAAAAGCTGGTCGCTTTGTGTATTTTGAGATGGGTAGCTGTCTAGACCTAGCTGCTGGCAGGGGTCGAATTTTAGCCTTGCATGCTCCTTTACATTCCCAAATGAATTCTGAGTTTTCTGAATTACTTAAAAATTACAATTGACTTTTTTGTACCATCATTTTCAAAAAGGATCAAAAAACAAGGCACATTCATCATCTTTTCTCAAATATTCCCTGCACCCACTCAATTCCGAGTTAAACGTGGATAGGGATATCCCCCGATCATTTCCGTTCCGCTACGCAAAAAGAGCCGCCCGAAAAACGTCAGAAAAACCGTTGCCGGCTCGTCAAACCGGAAGAAATTACGGCCAGTGAAAAACAAGGCGAAACCGAGGAAAAATGGAAAAGAAAATAAAAGTGAAACTCGAACGGAGATGCCTGGGATAATTGGGGTGTCCTGAAATGAAAAATGAGGAAAAGAAAAAGGAATTTTGCAACGCGGATACCGTATCTTATCGTGGAGGTCTTTGAGGGATAGGAAAAAACCGAAAAACGCAATACGGTAGCTAGGTGTACATAGTAGTTCTTTGTACTTAATACTTCGGGTTGTATTTAAAGCACCGTAAAAGCCATGAACCCGCAAATCTACGATTTTAAAGGAACGTAGAAGCCGCACTCCATCAAACGAATTTTTACCGCAAAGCTAGCTTCGAATTTTCGTTAGAAATATAGAATTTTACACAAAAACCTACTTAAGCGAAAGTTTTGTACTTTGTGGTTGCTTATTTCGATTGAAAATATAGCGCTATAGCCATTAACCAGCTTTTTGAAACGGTTTCGTGAATTTCCGTAAAAACCCACCGATTCCTGTGTCGAATTCTGACCGGCCATGCAGTTGACGAAGGCCGTGTCGAGCTCGATTTCGAGGCGTTCAAGCTAAAAAATGGTAAAATTGGTTTTTTTTAAATATTTTAGCTTAAAAATCCGCATATATAAGGTTTATGGTATAACGATATTTTATCGATAAAAATAGGTTTGAAACAGTCTCAAAAAAAAATTCAAAAATCTACCCTCTGATAGTCGCCCTTCAGCTGCTCGTGGCAATTGTGTGGATCGGTGGATTCGGGCAACCAGTACGGCCTAAAAACTCCAAATAAAGTGCAAAAAATGCAAAATTCTTACCTTTTTTGCGAGTTTCCCAAACATAATCGCTCCTCTAACCGGGAAACTGCCACACATTCCGCGTAGCTACTACAGTAATCCGCAACTGCTAATGAGGGAAGGGCGATCAGCAGCGCCGTCCACCACGGCGCTAGCATCTTCTGGGGGATCTAAGATGAGGGCCGTCGAAAACAACTACAAAAAAAGCAAGAAAAAGAAGAGTAGAAGGAGCGTTGGGCTACTGTAGCAAGGGCGAGATATAGAAAGATAAAGAGACAGTAAATTGGACTTTGAATTCGGTCTTTCGGTGATTTTTGGCATCGGGCCGTCAAGTTACTAGTTGATGATACCGTAGGAACATACAACTGCAAAATGCTATGAAGATGGATGTAGTAACTAGGACTCACAGAGCAGCGTTAGATTCGAAAATTACGGGAGACGAAAAGTTACTAAAAAAACTGCCCACAATGAGTCTCGAAGATTTCGCCGAATTCCACGATCCGGCGTCACGATAATCCAGAGGAATGAGTATTGAGTCATAGAGAGCACGAAAACGTTAGTCATTTCGTTAGCTGAAAAACTAAACACCGCATTCCCAGGGCCAACTCTTGATCTCCCAGTTTTGAAGCCAGTGGTTCCAAATCACAGTATTCTCATTGAAGTGTGCCATCGGATTCTGGATCTCGACAACTTTTCCGAACTATCGACTCGTTGCCAGAATCTTGAATCCGATTTTTGGGTTTCTTTAGCGTTAGAAAACTGACCAAAAACCCTAATTTACGTTACGGTTCTGGACTCTTCACAAAAAGTTGAAAGGCCTACCGTAATCTGGATCAAATGGAACGGAAAGAATTTCTAAGTTCCCTCTATATGTGCCTAGAAATTCCGCCTTTCCAGCTCCTTTAAAATTGAGACATTCTGGCTAATTTTGACGAAACAATGAAGGCAAAATCCACGAGTCTCTGCTAATTGTATAAAAACACGATGTTGCTGCTATAAATTAACAGTCTCCGGACATATCGAACCGTCCAACACCGGAGCGTGTCGGAAATTAGTGTTAGTGAAAGGGGGCAACCCCGCAAAAAGGGGAAATCAGGAAAAGGAATCAGGAAAAGGGGGCGAAAGCGGCATTCCCTTGGCTGATCGCTTTTGGGTCTCGGCTAGACCTCCCCTTTCTCGGGTGATTCGGGACAAAAAACTCGAATTCCGCTAGCCTGAGCCTCCCTTTCGACTCCGCCCATGCACTATCCACCGATCGGCATTGTGAGTCACCGTTCGGAGGGCAGGCTAGCAGAGATTCTTTGAGGAATTGGATGCAACCTCAGAGCACGCATAGTTTACGCCGTTCCGCGACTTTACTATCACCTCATAAAGTAGCTGCGAACGCTAGAAAAGTTGGAAAAACACAGAGAGAATACGGTAGAGAGACGCCTTTTATAGACTAGCCGACCTCACAAGGATACCTCCCCAGCTCGAAGTTCAACTTCGGTTAGCTAGATAGCGTACCAGATGCAGTTTTTCGCGCTGATCACGATCCCGATATTTATTTTTGCCCAAATCCATAGGAACACCATGAAAAAGATTTTAAACATTGTGCATTTTTTGCCTGGCTGGGCGTGATCCGCCCCACGGGCTTCAAAGCCTCTTTCCAGAGGGAGGCATCCATCGGTGGCATGGTGTAGTCGGCATGTGCTTGGTCTACGAATCTAGGGGTCACTAGTTCGAGTCTTGCCGCTGACGACTTTTTTGCTTTTTGGATAAAAATTGCTGTGAAGGCCATATGGAAGCCAAGTAAAAAAATTTCTAGTTCTTTTTGGCCCATTTGTCACCAATTGGAGTATTTGTGGCAACAACACAGCATCATTCTCATAATGATTATCAGTAATTGTGCCAATAGAAATTCTCCTTCCTACCCCGGAGAAGATAAAGCTAGACATAAAAATCCGTTTTTAAACAAGATCAGACATAAAAATTTTTACTTGACGTCGATATGGCCTTCACAGCAATTTTTATCCAAAAAGCAAAAAAGTCGTCAGCGGCAAGAGTCGAACTAGTGACCCCTAGATTGGTAGACCAAGTACTTGCCGATTACACCATGCCACCGATGGATGCCTCCCTCTGGAAAGAGGCTTTGAAGCCCGTGGGGCGGATCACGCCCAGCCAGGCAAAAAATGCACAATGTTTAAAATGATTTTTCATGGTGTTCCTATGGATTTGGGCAAAAATAAATATCGGGATCGTGATCAGCGCGAAAAACTGCATCTGGTACGCTATCTAGCTAACCGAAGTTGAACTTCGAGCTGGGGAGGTATCCTTGTCAAGAAGAAGCCTCCAAGAAAAAGCAATAAACTCTGCTTGTTTGCTCGGGTGTTAACAGTTTTGTTTTTGAGAGGAGGAATTGAGGGTGGAGATTTTGATAGCTGTATTTCTCGCTCTCTCCCTCGCTCTCCCTCGCCCTCTTTCCAAAGTTTGCAAGATTCCGTTTTACTCCAAACGACGGTTAAACCTGGACGGACCTGGAGGATTTTATTGCCTTTCGAAATTGCCGGCTGGCTCCCTCACGGCTGGCACACGGTAATTTGTATCGTTGCGAAACATGGAATAAAATGGTTTTGGCGATTATTTCTGACATCAATGGGCTTTTATACCGGTTTTCAGAGGGTGAATTAGAGGGGGCAGGCTGGCAGTGATCATTGAGACGAAAAAAATTGAGCGTTCGGGGCTACGTCACTTGTCTTCACTGGCCCTTTAAAGATCATTAGTTCGAGGCGGGCTAGCAGAGGCCATAGGTGGGGATTCCAGGCTGCTCTAGAGCAATATTCACGATAAAATACCTGAATTAGCCATTTCAGCTCTGAACCGTTCCTTAAAACTCGTTTGAGGGACTTAAGCTCAGGGTAAGTTAGCAGAGATCATTGAGGAAAATTCAAATTTTTATGGGAATTTACTTCTCTGGGCCTTTAGAATGTCGTTAAGGTACAGAGGAAGCGAACGGAAGCTGTAGATTTTTGTCTTCACGGCTCCTTTAAAATAGCGTAAGGGGCTTCTAAAATACAAGCAAGCTAGCAGTGCTTGTTTAAAAAAAGTTGGAACGTTTGCGCAGTGGTCTTTTGAAGTCTCGATCGCTAAGGGCTGAAACGCATAAAAGGCGCAGACAAGCTAGCAAAGGTCGTTGCGGAAAGCTGTAATTTCACAAAAACTAACAGAAAAACATCAGAATCAGTTTTGAATAAATACGTGCATCGTTGAATCGTCGCTTGAATTGGTCGGGTAGAGGTCACGGTCGTGGTAGCAGAGGATGTTGTTTCTCTGTCTCCTTGAAAATCGACAGACAGACAGAGAAAAGCGAGATGCCTCGGGGGCTAATTTTAGGCTTAGCTAGGGTTCGCGTGGGGGGCGTTGCACAAATCTCACAGGGTTCGGGAATCCTTTTCTTAGGGAAAATTCACAACTTTTGGTTTAGGAAAAATGGGGGAACTAGCAGAGGTCTTTGAGGAATTCTTTCGTAAATCTCTCAAGCTCCAGGATATTCGATCGTGGCAGGCTAGCAAGGTTTATTGCGGAAAGTCAGAAAAGAAAGCTAGCAGAAAAAATTTGGGAAGCTAAGGAAGGCAGGCTAGCAGAGTTTTTTATGGAAAGTAGAGAAGGCAGGCAAGCAGCGACCGTTACGGAAATTAGGGCAAGACAAAAAACTGACGATCCTCCAGCAAGGCCAGCTAGCAGAGATCCTTTGGGAAGTCTAGCCGCAGACTTCCTCAGCAGTAGTATGAATGCTCAGGCAAACCAGCAGGAGGACAGGGAGACCAGCAAGCTAGCAGAGATCATTTGAGAGTAGCAACATAGAACGTAGCTGATGGCAATTATCGTTTTGGAGAGCTTTGGAAGTGCACGCGCACCCACGCGAAAATTCCAAATCCGCCGATATGCCCCGGGCTTCACCGGTTTTGCGCCCTTTTGGGCGCAATTTAGGGAGACCAACAGGGTTCAGATTGAGACCAAAAACACAGAAATTCATTCATACCAACCATAACATGCTAAAAATGAAAGTGAGATAGCGAAAATCGGAAAATTGATGATTTCTCAACCCTGAAAAAAGTCGAAGAAGCTCCTTGAAGGCAAAGTGCGATTTTTAACTAGAGGTTACCCCGAATCTACTAGAGCGCAGTTTCATTCTTTGACAATACTTCTTGAAGAACTGTCACGATTAATCCAAGTCCGAAACCGGGCATTAGGTTAAACGGTCTTCAAAGCTGTCAACTGTCAACCCCCGGAAAGGCTGACCCTGTCATATGGACACAATATGACCTAGAGAGACGAACCCCGGGCGGTCTGTGTCTGTCAACTCAAGTCTTGCTTTCCATTCTAAAAAGTTATCCAAAAATCCCAGGTTTTCCATAAAATCGCACAGGTCAACCCTTTCCTTCGACTAGGTCTCGACAGCTACGTACAGTACGTAGTGTCATCCGATTTTTCCTGAAGCCGGAATTCCTTTTTTTCCTTTAATGGCTATGAAGATACGGTATGTACGTGTAACTTGGAGCGTTGCGTATCTGTCTAGACCCAAGCGAAAGAAGGGTAGATTTTTAGGCTTTCAACTTCTTTTCAAAACACAGCATAGATGGCTTTCTTGGCTTTTTTTAGATATTTTTGCAAGGAACTCCGGTGGATCATTCCATAAAAATTAAACTTAAAATTGCACTATCGAGAAGTTGTCGAGACCTAGTGTATCGGAGGGGTCGATTTTGACACTTCCTGGCCCCTTTAAAAGGCCATGTAACTTTGTTTTGACCGTTTTTTATCCAATTTTCCGTTGCATTCCGCCAGTACTATCAAAAACAAAAATCCTCATTTCCCTTTCCAAAGGTCCGAACGCTTTTTGCGCGGCTATCAGCGCCCTGATCACTCCAGTTTTTATCAACCAAAAGGAGGGATGCGCGTGGAAAAAGCAGGGCGCGTATCCGTTCGCCGGCACTTTTTCCGCGCCCTTGTCCGCTTTTTCACGCGAGCGGACACTGCCGGCGGATTTGGGCGTAAAAAGTGCGTAGTCGCCGGGGCGAAGAAAGAGACAGTCCTTTGTCTCGAAGTACAGGCGGCTGCTACACGCCAACTTCAGGGCTGATTGCCCGGGTGGTAGGCGCTTAAGGGGACCGAATTTTTTAAATAGAAGAACAGGCTAGCAGAGAATATTTGGGAAAACGTATAAATCCTGGAAGCTGCGGTGCGGGTCGGCTAGCAGTGATAATTTAGGACAATGAAACGAGCGCAACCTTTTTGTACAACCAGGCATCCCAGCAGAGACTATTGGGGAAATCCTGAGATTCCGGGAACCGCATGCGATAGCAGTCTAGCAGGGACCATTTAGGACATCACAACGAGTCTAAATTTTATGGAGTACCGGGCATGCTAGCTGAGACGCTTGGGGGAAATGGTAAATTCTCCATCTGCATGGCAGGGCCGGCTAGCACAGACAATTTAGGATGCAAAATCTCTCGCGTATCCCAGATTCCACCCAAGCATGGTTTATTTGGAAAATAGGAACGATTTTCAAGCGGAGACCTGAAGCGGCGTTAAGACTGGGGCAAGCGAGCAGAGGTTGTTAGAAAAAGACGTGGCAGCAGCGTTATCGTGGATAATTTCACATTTTTCGAGCCAACTTTGGGCAATTTTTAGAGGGCAGGCTAGCGGAAGGCCTTGTGGAAATTTGGCTGGGCAACACTAAAAAAGTTACAGTTCTTTTTTAGAAAATCCAATGAATTTTTGTAGCCACAAAAAATAGTTCGATTAAAACTTTGAACGTAAACTAGCAGAGATTTTTGCGGAAATGCAGAGGCAAAAAGCGGGAAGCTTGACGGTAAGGTTACGGTAGGGATCTGCAAGCTAGAAGAATCGAAAATTAGTCTGGAAAAATAACTCTAAAGGGTTGAAAAGTCCAAAAATCCTTGAATCGAATCCCGAAAATCGTCGATGTTCCGGCCGCAGCGGGGCAAATCGGAATGGTGTCAACTTTTGCTAGGCGCCCTGGGCGCGGACAAAAATCCCCTGCAGGGGGTGATGGTAAAGGAAAGAAAGCCTGAAAAAGGGAAGGGTAAAGGGGGCTAAAAAGAGGGAAAAACGGGGAACAAGGTCATCCCGAAATGGGGCAAACCATCGCCTTTTTTAGGGCGTGGAAAAGGGGGAAAAGGAAGGGAGAAAATGGTAAGAAAGATTCGGGCGACTGATGGACATTATCAACATCTGGAAGGAGCTAGAAAACAAAGGAATCAGATTTCATTCTATTCAGATACAGATCACTTCTGATTTGATTAAACCTAAAAACCGAGGAATTAAATTACGTCATTTTTCGAAACCTGTGTTCTCAGCTGTTACGATCCCTTTAAAAACGTTTAAAACCGTTCCAAACTCTTGCATAAGCGTCAACTATAGCTGTCGCTGGTGCTTTAAAATGACTTGGAACCGCCAAAATCGATATCTTCCAACCAGGGTTCGATTTGATTGGGACGGGGCGAGACTTTTGCCTATAGTTGATCACCAGGAGGCGGCGGATCAGGTCTTAAACTACACCATCCGATGGACCTCGCTCTTCCGGTTCGATTGATGTGCATAAAAACCCCTTAGAACGTTTCTAGACAACCTCCAACCTCCAATTTGTGCAAATCTTAACAAAAAAGCGGTTTTACGGGGATATTTTTCCGGAATGGACTCGAATCAGGTTTTAAGCTACACCATTCGATGCGTCTCACTCTTCCGCGTCAGATGATACCCATAAAAACATCTTAGTACCTTGCTAGACAACCTCCAGACCTCAATTTATGAAAATCTTAGCAAAAAGCTGTTTTACGGTTGCGGTTTTCCGGATAAGTATCGGATCACGCTGACAACCACCTCAATCGATGCAGCTCACCCTCCCGCGTCGAATGATACCCATAAAAACTCCTTAGAACTTTGTTAGACAACCTCCAAGGCGGTTTTTAGGCCTAGGTTTCTCTCCCAGCCCATCGAACCCTGCTTCCAACAAATATTTATCGACACATTTGTTATTTTACCTTTCAATTTGACGATTAACAACAATTTCATTCTGCTCATTTCTAGCTGCCAGGTCTGGTCAGCTACGGCGGCGTCCGAATTCCAAGTGTAAACTTTACATAAATTTGTTTCTCTCAAGAAGAATCGACGCCGTATTCGGGTTCTAAAGAAGTTATAAGCGCGAGAAGTCACGACAACGCGATACTCCAATTGACAGCGTCAAACGTCATTTTGGAGCATTGCGTTGTTAGCGATGGTTAAGGACGTCAGGTTCAGCATAATAGCGCTGATGCACGTCATTCGGCGCATCGCGTAGCTGCTGACGAGGCCAGGTGGATCAAAGGGGTCGATTCTGACACTTCCCGGTTCCTTTAAAATTCATTAATAAATTCGTTCCCATTCGTGCTTCTTTTTTTCTGCAAGCGCTATGACATGAATTTCCAGGCGATTTGCACCTTTTCTTGCAATTTTGCATCTGACTGATACCAATTTGTCTTTTCAAGGATCTCTGCTAGCTTGCCAGCAAAAGCCTAGCTCTTTTTTTGGCTTGAAAAGGCTTTTAGCAGGAAGGTTGTGTTTTTTAAATCATGCTTTTTCGACCGTATCTCTCTTTATTTTGTAAAAATTCATTAAATTTATTCATAAAACCGTAATCACCTCGCACAAAAGGAGACAAATCACACGCACACGAAAGGATAGACATATCGAGAGAGGGAAGGCTCTAAAATGCAGCAGTGGTGTCGGATCACAATGGCTTTTGGGGCGGGGGTGGCATGGCAGGGGTTATTGGGGAAAATCGGGACCGAAAATTCCTAATCAAAAAACTACGCGAACAGCGATAAAGCCAAGTTTTACAGGGATTTTTAAAGGCAGAATTTGAGAGCTAGAATCGAGTGAAAATGGCCAAAAAATGTGCACAATCGAGTACTGTAAGAATCAGATAATTGGGGCGAGAAATGATCGATAATTTGGGTAGAAAATCGATCGATGTGGCCGAGTAGTACGCGGCGCTACCAGTGGACGGGCGACGGGGCGGACGGCTCGCCGGGGGACGACAGCTCGCCGTTCGGGGACACGTTTCCGGACTGGAAAAATTGGATGAATTGAATGTTAAAGGGACTGGAAAGGCAACGAAGTTATATATTCTCACTCTCTCTCTCGCTATCTCTCTCGCTCTCTCTCTCTCCATCTCCCTCCCCTCTTTCTCACGCTCACTCTCTCTCGCTCTGGCTTTCTCTTTCTGACTCTCTCGCCGCCTCTCACCTAGCTCTCCTTTTCTCATTTTCTTGCTTTCTCTCCCTCTCTCTCTCGCTCTCTCCCCCTCTTTCTCACGCTCTCACTCTCGCTCTCTCTCTCTCTCCCTCTCTCTCTCTCTGTCTCTCTCTCCCTCGCCCTCTCTCTCGCTCTCTCCCCCTCTTTCTCACGCTCTCACTCTCGCTCTCTCCCTCGCCCTCTCTCTCTCGCTCTCTCTCTCTCTCTTGCTCTCTCTCTCTCTCTCTCGCTACCTCTCTCTCTCTACTCGAGAAATTTACCGTATTCGGGGAGCGCAGGCCATTGTCGCGGCACACCCGATCGAAGACACGACGGATCGTCTCGCGCTCTTCCGGACTAAAAAAAATACATTTATGCAAACTTTTAGGGTACATTTCACTAGCAACGAAGCGTTTATTGATTTTTTTGTCCGTATTAAATTTATTTAATTAAATTCGTATCGCCGATTAGCCATATTTCTCGATTTTTTTTCTTTATTTTCCTCCCCCAGGTAGACCGTATCGTCACGTAGCCCTTTGCGCCTATGAACTTGCAGCCCCCCATCAACCAGCCGAGAGCCCCAGCCATTTCTAATCGAAAACAACATAGTTTATCCCCCCGTCGGGCTCCGTCCCGTCCCAGTCGGTCTGTTTCACGGTGTAAGCGTGGCTTGCGTGCTGTTGATGTGCCCTCCCGGGCTATACTCGAGGGCATGAAGAGGGGCATTGAAAGAAGCTGGACTTTTCCGCTGGGCCTGTCCATTTTAGAGAACGGCAATAATATTTTGAGGCAATCTGGTGCCGGCGGCGGTAATAAACATTAGAGGCAATAATTATGAAAAAGGCTCGGCAGCTGGAATTAGGAAATTTTGGCTTTTGCATTAAAGGGATGCCCAACCTTTCCGGAGCTCAAAAAGCAAAAACAATACCGCGGGCGGGCGTCGAACCCGGACCCCCGTTTTGTAGACCTGGATGCTATCCATTAGGCCATAGTGGCAAGCCATTAGGTGGGATGGGGACGCCACAAGTGGGAAAGGGTCCGAATTTTGTGCGGCAATGGGCCCCCCGTTGCCGCACGAAATTCGCACGTCAGTTGTACTGCCCGGAATACACAACTATATATTTGCCGCCAAAACCTTGGGTATCCCCTTAAAGAAGACTAAAATTTGCATAAAATAGTACCTATCGAAGAGAAGCCAGTCTCATTTTTTGGTATCATTGCATTTTTATCAAAATGTAACGATATTTAAGGTTAAAACTATCCAAAAACTTGCTAAATTTTGAAACTTTGGTGCAAAAATTTACTTTTTTTTGTATTTTTTAAAGTTAAATTCGCAGGTTTTGACTTAATGTCGCCTAGAATTAGTAAAAAACGGCAGAAACGCATCCATAATTTATATGGAAAAATGTGGATCAGTTGGGAATACTGGGGTCCCATGGCCATGGCCTAGCTCCGGGTCCAATCCGCAAAACAAGTGCTCCGGGCGGGGGTCGAACCCGCATCCTACGGCTTTCGAGTCCGATGCTCTCCCTATTGAGCTACCGGGGCACGCGGAATGCCTCTCTCGGGGCAGCTATCCATGCCAGCCCCTCACATCTACGGAAAGATCCATGAGTTTTAAAGGGCCGCTAAAGCCAAACAAAACCCCTTACGTGGCGTGGCGGTGGGCAAAGACGGCGACGGACATGATCGTCGGGTCGGTTGGGGCCGACATCATCACCTGCAAAATGACTTTTTTAGCTACTGTCCAATGATCCACAACCATGCACGCTACGTTTCAAGGGAATCGAAGCGGGAGAATCGACCCTTTAATCCACTAGGTTTAGACACTCCAAAGTACGCAAGCTAACAGACTAGTTAGCTAGAGAAAAAAGCTATGAAAAGTGCTATAAAAAGCCGGCTAAACCTGTCATTTGGAGCGTCGTGTAGCTGTCCAGACCTAGTCAATTCAGAGGGTAGATTTTTGCGCTGACTAGTCTCTTTAAGCCCCGCTAAGGAACATAACCAAACCCTAAGGACCCCTGCCAGCTTGCCACATCTTTGGAAGATACAAACAAATGCCATTTCAGTTTCACATAGTTGTCTAGGCTCAATCTTTTGTCGTGTCGTTTTTTAGGATTTTTCTAGCCCCTTTAGGCCTCGGGTTTTGCAAAAACCAGACATCAGCCCGGCTTCATGCCCTCCGAAGAGGAGGATTTGTTTATGCTTGTTTGTGCCGATGGAGGTCCATGGCTGCAGCGAGCGGGAGAGAGAGAGAGAGAGAGAGAGAGAGAGAGAGAGAGAGAGAGACAGAGAGAGGGGGGGGAGAGGGAGAGAGGGTGGCAAAAGCCCCCGGGTGGTCCAGCCGCGAAAACACCCCCCGTCCCCTAGGGGTGTTTTGGAGCTGTTTCTTTGTCTGTCTCTGTCCGTCCATCTGTCTGTCCATGAGTTGTTTGTGTGCGTGTGGATCCGCCGTAGCCGGGCCCCCGAAAAAGCCACGAAAAAGGTCCTTAGCATCTGCCGTCGTTGCGGAGAAAATAGGACGACTTGGGGAGTCCAGAGGCCGGCGAAAGAAATTGGCCCTGCTGGCGGCGATGTTGTTTTGCATTTTGAAGGTCTTTGGGCGTAAACAACAAGATGGACATTATGGGAACAAAGAGGGCTAAGAATGAAGAGGGCAAGCTAGCAAAGATCATTGAGGAAATAGGTGGAATTTTGGATGAAAAACACCGGGCAGGCTTGCAGAGATTTTTTGAGGAATTGGAGGGTATGGAGGGGGCAGGCTAGCAGAGATTCTTTGAGGAATTGGAGGGGATGGAGGGGGCAGGCTAGCAGAGATTCTTTGAGGAATTGGAGGGGATGGAGGGGGAAGGCTAGCAGAGATTCTTTGAGGAATTGGAGGGGATGGAGGGAGCAGGCTAGCAGAGATTCTTTGAGGAATTGGAGGGGATGGAGGGAGCAGGCTAGCAGAGATTCTTTGAGGAATTGGAGGGGATGGAGGGGGCAGGCTAGCAGAGATTCTTTGAGGAATTGGAGCGGATGGAGGGGGCAGGCTAGCAGAGATTCTTTGAGGAATTGGAGGGCATGGAGGGGGCAGGCTAGCAGAGATTCTTTGAGGAATTGGAGGGCATGGAGGGGGCAGGCTAGCAGTAATTCTTTGAGGAATCTTGTACCCACCTGCTGCTGCTCGACCCTCTTGGCGACGGGCTGGCCGCTTGGCGAATTTTTCGAGTCAAAGACGAGCACCTCGCCGGCCGGATGACGCTTCCCGTCGAGGCCACGGTTCAGGTTTCGCAGCTGAAAAACTGGCGAATTATTATCAAACATTTTACGCCTAAAAATCCCTTCAAAAACCATAAAATTCGCGCACCAAAATCTCAATCTCCATCTCGGGCAGCTCCTCCTTCATCGCGTCCTCGAGCTGCTTGCGGATCACTCGCTAAAAAGTGAACAAATTCTATGGGAATCAGTTTTTAAAGGGGCAGGCAAGCAAAGGAGGCAAGCGGAGAGAAGCAGGGCGGACAGTTTTCAAGCAAATCAAGGGTTTTTCAAGCGGGTTTAATAGATTTTTAGCGTTTTGAAGTCTATGAAGCTAAATACGAGCAGATTTGAGCGTTTTTTAAAGCATTCAAAGCCTCTAAAAAAATATTTAGATCCATTTTTGAAGTTTTGAAGCAGATTGGAACGACTTCAAGGTGCACAAGTTGCCAAAAGATGTTTTAAAAGCTTTGCAAGCTGCGATAAAGCATTTGAAGCCGGAAAAAGTCGACAAAAAGGCTTCTTTGAATCCCTAAAAACTTTTTTAGACTGGTTCTAAAGCTTTTTAAGCAGGGTGGAGAAGCTTTTGAAGCACGGGAAAAGCCAGGGAAAAGCTGTGTGCCGCGTTTTTTTTTTGCAGCGGTCCCAACCCTAAATCTATCGTCGAGCATCGGGATGTGCTCCCCGTTGGCCCAGATCTAAATTATTTTTTTCTGAAGCGATTTTTTTGTTTTTTTTGTCCTTAAACAACCAGATGGAGCTAGAAAATTGGATACGCCGTTTTTCTGCACCGAAAAACACATGCAAATTTCGTACAAAAAATTGTGAAATCGAGAAATAAATGGCGAGCGACAGACCGCCGGCCACAAACTACAAACTACAAACCACAAGAAACCAAACGGCAACTCAATTTCATGCGCAAAATCTACCCTACCCCGGCTGCTTTGTCGGCCTAAATATTGAAAAATGGTTAAAAAACGTGTCTTTGAACTGCTCAAAGCATTTTTGAGCGGTTCAGCTATAAAATTAAACAATGTGAGAACTACGCTACGCTACGCCGTAAAAAACTTACATATGGCGTTCGCCTCGGGCTGAAGTCCTCGCTCTCGATAATTTTCGGGATGCGCCGGCAGGCAATGTCGGCCAGGATGTCGCGCGCGTGCTCCATTTGCGGGCAGCGGGACGAGTCGTTTTCGATCTGAAAAGAATTAGCGTTTTTTGCCTCTAAAGGGACTAGGAAGTGAGAAATAATCGAGCTCTTTTATCTACTAGGTCTCGACAGCTACGCGACGCTCCAAATGACACTTGTGATGCGTAATTTGGTGCGTAGCGTAGCTGTCGAGACCTAGTGCAAGCGGGCGTCGATTTTGATGCTTCCTAGTCCATTTGACGGTGCTGTCAAAGTCACGCGCAAATCGACCCCCAGCCGGCTGGGTCTAGGCAGCGACGCAGCTCTCCAAACGACAGTGGTAATCCGTGTTCGCCTACCATGGAGAGGATGGAGTCGTCGGTTTTCAAGTACGCCTCCATATCCTCGATCGTCGAGCTGAGGGGGTACCGCTTGCCGTTGGTGCCGGTGAACATCAGGTGCTCGTCGGCGAGGAGGAGGGCGCGGATCAGCCTGAAAATTGTATATAGTATTATATATATATTTTCTCTCCCAATCTCGCTCTCTCTCTCCATCTCTCTCACTCTCTCTCACTCTCCACTTCCTCTCTTTCTCACTCACTCTCTCTTTCTCTCTCTTCCCCTCTCTCTCTCTCTCCTCTTTCTCTCTCGCTTCTTATATCTCTCTCCTTCTCATTTTTTCAAGTTTATTGCCGTTTTTATGCAAAATTTCGAAAATTCCAAGACCGTGGGACCCGTGTCTGACTCACGGCTTGTTGTCGTCGCTCTCTATGTATATTTAGGGAAAATCCCCTGCCCTCAACATGCCCTATTTCGATAGCCATTATATGAATAACCCTCTATTTTGGCGGCACCCAAAAAAGGCATGGGATTGGGTTGGGAAAAGCCGACCCAGGCGAGGCGAGGAGGGCGTAAACAAATTTCCCGAGGCGGGAGCGGCGGGGGTGAGGACGGACTTTTGAAAGACATGCTAATGAGCTTTTTTTGGTCTGGCTTGGCGGGAAAACAAGGGTCATGAAATAACTGGAAATTCCTTCAGCGGTTTCGTCGTCTTTTTTTAAAAACTTCTTCGTCGAAGGCAAAGGTCATTTAAAAACCGTTCTAATCTACAAAAAAAAAACATTTTTGACATTTGAGATGCATCCTTGGGTTGCATGCCGTTTGATTTCCATGCCGCGAGTTTCTGCCGGTTGAATAGCACCCAAAATCCAGATTCAACTTTTTACGCGGTCCGAGAAGGTGCATTTTTGAGCGGCTAGATTAGGATCTGCGTTTTCCGGGTCGAGGAAAACAACAACTAGCCACGACCTAGGGGTGAGGGATGGACTGGAAAACATCCGCATCGAAGCTGGTTGGAAGGTTGGGATTTTTCTCAGACAAGATCACCCCAATTCGAGCTGGCGCTATTCCTTTAAAACGCGCCGGACAAAAACGCTAACCAAATACACACTACACCGTTTCGAGACTTGCCACGTTCTGTTCAGAGTATCCTCACGTAGTCTAGACAGATTTCTATAGTCTGCCTGAAAAACAATGAGTTTGTACTCCGAACACCCGGCTTATTACGGCCCAATTTGGGGCCGGATACCGTAATCGGGGGCAATTAGGTATGGCGGAGGGGGAAATCAACACCTCGACGAGAGAGAGACAGAGAGTGAGAGACAGAGAGTAAGAGAGACAGAGAGTGAGAGAGAGCGAGACAGGAGAGAGAGAGAGTAACAGAAGTGTTGTTTATCGGTGTTTTTCGTAGTCGAAGTTAGAGCTAGAGAGCGAGAGAGAGCGAGAGACAGAAAGAGAAAGACAGAGAGACACATAGACAGACAGAATGAAAGAGAGACAGACCGAGAGAGAACGAGCAAGAGCATGAGCCCGAGCGAGAGAGAGCGGTTGAGAGAGAGACAGAGACAGAGGCGGGCCCTCCCCCCAAAAGTGCAAGCACCAATTATTCTTGTTGTTTACCCCGGCGGCCCCTAGCCCTCGTTTTTGCCTCAAAAACCATGGGGGGCGTGTCCCAGGGCGCTACGGTATATAAGCCACCCCATCTCCAAAGCCTCAAGCCAACTTTTCAAGTCGACTACACAACTAAACCACAGCCATGAACCGAGTCCTCATCGCCCTCTTCCTCGTCGCCCTCATCTCCGTCCAATATGTGGCGGTCAGTTTTTAGAGGCATTATATTTAATTCAAAGCTACCTTTAACAAATTAGAGTTTCGAATTTTAGCCAGAAATAGTGTTTGAACCTTTAGAAAAATTTTGAAAATTCAAAAACATAAATAAATGGAATTTTGCGGGGGTTTTAAGATTGTAGATTTTGTTTAGATTTTCTAAAATTTTCTAATTTTAAGGCAAAGCCATTACGAATAATATTAATTGTAACGTTGCGTTCGAATTTAAAAAAGCAAATTCCAAGTTTAGAGGATTCAAAAAGCAAAAGTTTGATTTTTCGAATTTTTAAAGATTTATTTCTGTTTTTTTCGGCCAAAATTAGCCTCTTTTAACGGGGTTAGATTTACATTAAAGCTACATAATTTAATCTTGTCATCTTTTAGCAAGCCACCGAGGTCGGAGACAAGGCCAAGGACGCCGCCGAGACGGCCGAGACGAAATTCAACGAGGGCAAGCAGGCCGCCGCTGATGCCAAGGACTCTCTTGGTGAGTCGATTTTCTATTGAAAAATCAGTTTAAAAACTAGAAAATATAGAGAGATTAGTCTAGAACGGCACAGATTCAGTTATCACTATTGCACCGTTTCGAAAAACCGTCAGAAAATCGTAAAACTATTTTTTGATAATTTTAATTTTTCGCCAAGAATAATTACGCTAATTAAATATATCCAGAACGATTTAAAAATTGTTGTCACAAGCCAAAAATCCAGAAATTTTAAAATCTAGCCTTTAAAATCAAAAATTAAAACCAGACTTTTCAAATACTGAATTTCACTAAAAATCCCCTAAAAAACTGTCTATTTCTCTAGGCGAGAGGATAAGCAAGGGCTACGAGGAGGGAAAGGCCGCCGCCAGCGGAGCCAAGGATAAGATTGGTCAGTAAGAGAGAGAGGCATGACAGAGGGCATGCTAGCAGAGACGCTGTGTGGAAAGCCGCTTCTAACCCTAACCCCCTCCGGAAATACAAACTTAAGCCGATTCTAACCCAAAACCCCCAAGTTAAGTCCAACAAAATGCATGCCCAGGCTGTCAAGCAGACATTTGAACGTTTTGAGCCACCTTTAGACGATTAAAATCCGGTAAAGCACCTGAAAAAAGCGTTTCTAAGCCTGCTCCTACAGGATTCTCGGCCCTTCCAAGCTTCAGAAATTCTTAACAATAGCAGAAAAAACGCTGTCCAATCCGCTTCATTGATTTCAACCGCCCTTAACGTCCCCCCGACAGCTTGCCTCACAGCTTAGCCTGCATGAACAACGGTGGAATGTTGCACGCCCCTTTAAACCTCTAAAACGCCCTAATAAACGTCTATTTTGCAGGAGAGAAGGTCGAGGAAGCGGGTAAGAAGATCCAGGACTAAACGCATCGCCTTCAACGCCTGCTCAATAATTCCACAACGCCACCCTCTACATGTACAGCCACCCGCAAATGCTTGCCACAAAATGCATAATATAATCGATATAAGAAATTGCAAAAAACAACCAATTACGGTGCAATAAAAATCTTTTGCTATTATGGCGTCGAACACACAAAAGGAATTGCAAAAAAAACAGCCAAAATAGCGACTAAAAACCGAAAAAACTGAAGAAAAAAAGACTCTAAAAATCATTTTGCGCAAAAAATAGCTTAGGCAAACAAGCAGAGAGATGTCGTGAAATTCCATTTGCTGCCAAAAACGGATAAAAGCGCGTAAAAAATCGGAAAAACTTAAATCATGAATTTCACTCCTCTAAAACGGCCACAAAAAAGCCATGAAAAAAATATGTACTAGATGCCGAGCAGGGCAAGCAAGCAGAGAATATTGTGGAAATTCTTTGGCTCTAAAAAAGCTTAAAGCTCGCCAAAAAAAGTTACATGTCACTTCACTGATCCTTTAAAACGCAACAAATTTCTCTAAAAAGCCAGGAAAATGAGTGGTAGATGTCAAAACGGGCAGGCAAGCAACGGAAATTTAGGAAAAACGGAAACTGACCATTTTCTGACTTCAACGGCCCTTTAAAACCTGAAAACCCCCAAAAAACCCACATCCTCTCGATGGCGCGGCAGGTGTAGTGCTGGTAGACGACGCGGTGCATGTGCTGACGAGAGTCGCCCACCGACTGCAGGTTGCTCAGGATCTGGAAATTCCGCAAATAACCTCCGATAGCCTGCCCCCTTCCATCCCCTCCAATTCCTCAAAGAATCTCTGCTAGCCTGCCCCTACCTTCTTGGCAAACGCGATCCGCTTGTAGCCCTTCTGCTCGTCTAGGAACACGCGCATGTTGTTCCGGATCCGGATCAGGCTCGACTGGAAAAACGAGAATTAGATAGCGAGAGAGAGAGAGAGAGAGAGAGTGAGAGAGAGGGAGAGAGTGGGAGAGAGAAAAAGCGAGAGACATAAGTCATCGATTACCATTCCAAAGGTAATATCAACTCGGCAGTGGAGGGCGTCACGCATCAAGTAGTCGTACTTGTCGACGTCGTGGCCGTCTTCCTCGTTGGAGACTGAAAAATCGGGCTAAAGGGACAGCGACAGCAACCTTGAAGGCTCAAATTCCCAGAAATCACTGCTAGCCTGTCGCGAACTACCAAGAAAACGTACTGATGTCGTAGAGGTAGCTCTTTTCCTGATCGCGCCCCTGCAGCCTCCATTTCCCCTCGGCATCCAACTTCTCGCCGGGATGGATGAGCTCCTTGATGAAGGTGAGGTTCCGGTCGAAGCGATCGCCATGGCCGAGGTACGGGGTGAAGTGCTCCTGAAAATGGGACCGGCTAGCCCAGATTCTTTGAGGAATTTGAGGGGATGGAGGGGACAGGCTAGCAGAGATTCTTTGAGGAATTGGAGGGGGATGGAGGGGACAGGCTAGCAGAGATTCCCTGAGGAATTGGAGGGGTTGTAGCCTATCATTAACGCTAGAAGGGCTCCAAAATCCTACCCTGACTTCCTTGCGCCCGAACAGCCGATCGATCAGCTGGATGGAGCCGTGCTCGTGCTAAAAAACTAGTTAAGCCATTAAAAGTTTTGGTCTACATTCCAGGTCGAGTCCGGGTTTCGCTCCTTCAGCAGCTCGTTGTCGAACATGTGCGAGAAGGGACCGTGGCCTGAAAGGAGCACCGTTTTCTCTCGCTCTCTCTCTTTCCCTCTCTCTCTCTCTCTCTCTCTCTCTCTCTCTCGACTCACCGATATCATGGCACAACCCGGCGATAGACAGGCAGAGCACGTCTTCTGAGGAGATCTGGAGGCTCGGGTCCGAGTCGCGCAACGACGTCGCGAACTGGTGGGCAAGGTGGTAGACGCTAAAAATAGGGTTCTGTCTTTCTCGTCTCTCTCTCTCTCTCTCTCTCTCTCTCTCTCTCTCGCCTCAGAACTCACCCAAGACTGTGCGTGAATCGGGAATGCTCGGCGGAGGGGAAGACGTAGTTGCCGAGGCCGACCTGGAAATGTTGTAATTTTAGTTTTCCGAAGAATCTCTGCTAGATTGCCCTCACCTGCTTCAACCGCCTCAACCTCTGAAATTCGGGGCTGTCGACGAGCGTCTCGAGCGGGTAGTACAGCGGAATGTGGTCGTGCACGAAGCACGAGATCCAGCGGGCCTACAAAAAAATAATAGCGTGTCTTAAAGGGCCATCGAAGGCAAAAATGGCAAAAACGTAAAAGGCGAAAAAATGTTTTGATAGGGATCTTACCGGCTTCTCGACGTCGGGCAGCGGCCAAATGGAAACGCCGTTCTGGCTGAGGGAACCGCTCTCCGGCATCGCAATTGGGCCTGCAAATTGGAGCCTAAATGATTTTTGACCAACTTAGAACCAAAATAAGGGTAACCATGAGTTAGTGAAAAGAAAGAAGAATAGTTTGTGAACTTCCCCTCCATTCTTCGATTAGGAAAGGGTTGAGAAAGGAAGAGACAGTGAGAGAGATAGGGAGCGTGCGAGAGAGAAAAGCGAGCAACAACAGCAAAAGAACACCAAAATTTAGTGAAAAGTGCCGGCAAATTCAGAGGTTTTAAGGTTCTCTAACCAAATTCCAGGCGTTCCAAGTTTCCGGCAGCTTATCAGCCTCGTAATGGCAGACAGAAGAAAAAAGCGGGTGACGGGGTTAAGCCTGATTCCGGAAATCGGCAATGCCGCAACAAGCCAAAACGCCAAGAAACTCGGAAAACGCCTAAATGCTTTCTTCGGGAAATTCCGGCGGGGGCAAGGTTTTTTTTTTTTGAAGAAATAAGAAATTAGAATGAGCATTTTTCCAGTTGCAAAAATGAGGTAAACGTCACGAAAAAGCTCGAAATAAAAAAAGCTTTTCCGGTTTCTAAAAACATTATGACGAATTCACGATGGGCAAAAACCGCTTACACTAGCAAAGAAGCGCGTCAAGTTCAGTCGATTTCGAGGAACGTAGAAGGCAGAAAGTTGAGACAGATAAATCCCGATGTTGTAAAAAAGCAAGCCAGGTAACTGCAGCGATGTCTTGCCAAACCCAAACTGAGCCGAAATACTGCCGCCCCCGCCCCGTTAAAAGGCCCAAATTCCAGGTCCCGCTCACCGGAACCTGAAACGACTTGGCCAAACTTGGACAGGTTAAATGGGAAGAGGCGGAGGAGGAGGTGTGCAAAAGTCACCCGATGACCCCTGAAAAGACACCCGGGAAATGGTGGAAAAAACCGGACGAGTGTGGCGGCTGCCACTTGCTCTCTCTCTCTCTCTCTCTCTCTTTCTCTCTAACTCGCTCTCTCTCATTCTCTAGCCTTTCGGGTCGGGAGGGCGTGAAAGTTTAGAGAAGATGGTTATCTTCTGAATGGAACGCGAGGCGAGAATGGAGCACGAGAGGGAGGAAGGGGGAGGAGAAGAACAACACCACTACCGCACTTTCGACACGGGTGGGGCGATCTGGCAGAGATCATTTGGGGAAATCAAGAGTCTGGCCCGGGTCAGGGTCAAGGCAGACTAGCGGAGATTCTTAAGGAGAGGCTTCTTGGCCGAACCATTTTTCGAAGTCAGTTTGCTGGACGAGGGCAGGCTAGCAAAGATTCCTTGAGGAATCAGGAGCGAGAAAACCGATGGGGCGGGCAGGCTTGCAGCGGTTATTGAGAAATTTCGAAGACCAGTAAAAATTCAAGAAAGGCAGGCTAGCAGAGAGCATTTAGGAAGCACCAAGCATCCGCGGATGCCTACAAATCCTACAAGACGAGTTGTGAAACTCCAAAACCGCGCCGATTCGAAAATCGCGCAAAAAAGCTAGTGCTCTCCCGGAGCCCCGGAAGAACTAATCAGGGGCAGGCTAGCAGAGACCATTTAGGAAGTATTTACCTTTCCATCAACGCTTCAAGCAACGTAGATTTTGAGTTTACATAGAAAACCCGGATGATGCATCTAATTTCCACAAACGCGATTTATAAAAAGTTAAAAGCGCATTAAAGTGTACCAAAATCGACTTTTACCCCATTTGTGAAGTATGATATTTGGCTGAACTCCAGATACCCCCACCCAAAGCCGGCCTCCAAATTTTGTATCTCGGCTAACTGGTCATCTACAGGTGTGTAAAGTATACGGAAATACTCGCCAGAGCAAGATGAACATTTTGGAATACTGTATACACCTGTAGATGAACAGGGAGCCGAGATACAAAAGTTGGGGGCCGGCTGGGGGGGGGGGGGGTATCTAGAGTCTTACCTAAAATTTCTATAACGTTCCTAATTCGAGGGCTAAAGTACTCTATCGTATACCAAAAAGTAGCTATCGGTCTGGAAAAGATGATTCAAATAAAAAATATAGAAAAATACATAAAACCGAGCAAAAAAGATACCGTAGCTACTTGAAGCCGAAAACTATGGGTGGGCCAGAGATTTATAGCTGTTCCAGAACCTTATCAAACTACCGTTTTAGATTAGAGCATCATTAAAAACTGCAAAAAAACACTATAACGATCGCTTACGCGTTGAAATAACGTGGTTTTCCAGCTGAACGTTCGGCGATTCTCGCCTGACCAGCTAATGGATTCTGGCGCGCCCTGCGTTTTTTTATCGTCTAGCCCGGCTCGGCCGTGAATCAACCGTTTTGTTGCAAAAAATATTTATGCCTGGTCGTTTATTGGATTTTCAATGGAATCGGATATATGTGAAAAGCTATGAATTTTCAATTTCCGGGGCAAAAGTCGAGAATTGATCTGGCAGGGGGAGTGAGAGGTTCAGAGGACGAGCAAACAAAAAAAACTGGCGGCAGGATGATACTAACGAGATTAGAAAGTGAGAAATCGAAACGTAAGTAAATAGAAACTTGTTTCTCTCGCGATACGCAAGCTGGCAGAGAAAATTGAGGATCTTTGGAAACTTAAAGGACCAGAGAGGCCTTGAAAACGGATTTTATAGACTTTTTCTAGTTCAG